AATAGAAAAGAAATGCATACAAATTTCCAATTGCATCAAACAGTAAATGTCTGTATTATATATATCAGCATCATATACAGTGTTGGTCAAGTTACTTGAAAAAAGTAATCAGTAACTAATTACTGATTACTTCCCCAAAAAAGTAATCCCGTTACTTTACTGATGACTTATTTTCAAAAGTAATTAATTACTTAGTTACTTAGTTACTTTTTAAAAACACGATTTACAACCTGAATAGGTGATAAAGCGATGGATCTTTCAGCCCAATTCTACTTTTTCTGCATAATCCAGCTTACAAAGTGTAATCAAATGGAAAAGTGTCTTTTTAACTCTTGTTTTATTAGTTTTAATCTTTTAACTTTATGCATCAAGCAAAAATTTAATTATATGCAACATTCTCTGACTGGAAGAAATTTGTTTAACATTTAAACCTATTTTCTGCACATTCCAGCACATAAAATAAAATATTATTTTGTGTTTACACTCAGTCTTTCAAATAGATGCCATTAAAACACAGCAGAAAATAAATAAAGTCAAAGACTAGCGGTCCTGTTGCTCTATTTTCACCTATAAAGCAGGAGTGGGGTAGGCGGAGGTTTGCCTAAAATAACGGTCTTAGTAACGCAGTAACGCAGCATTCCTACGGGAAAGTAACGGTAATCTAATTACCGTTTTTGCAATAGTAATCCCTTACTTTGCTCGTTACTTGAAAAAAGTAATCGTATTACAGAAACGCATTACAACTAACGAGTTACTGCCCATCTCTGATCATATATAGTCTAATACTGTGACTTACTCTTGAAAGTAGTCTGCTCCATCATCTTGTTTACTTCATATGTAATTCATTGTTGCATGAGTATGCAGAAGGAGCCACTTTCATAAGCATAAGAATGTAAGTGAGACTAGCCATACATATACAGTTAGATAAATAATTTATTGGACTAAGACAGTTGTTGACCAGAAAAATTTTGGCTTTTATTTTTTTATTTTTTTGCATTTCCTGATTAAGAATTACAGAAATTTCAGTACTCTATTTTGAGATGGTCAAAAATAATTGGACAGTTGACTGACAAGTGATTCAATGACAAGGCGATGCCTATTTCCTTGTTATTTAATGACAAATTAAGTACTCACACTAATGCACAGGTTGAATGCATGGTTGAAACTTAATTTTATAGCTTTTCACTGTCATTTTAAAAATGAGACCCAAATGAATGTATGTGCAAATGAGGGAGACTTATGATTTAAATCATGTTACATTATCAGTCAAACATGGTGGAGGCAATTTTATCGCTGTATAACAATGTATGGCTGTCAGTGAGTCTGGATCAGAGGTGATTATTGACGATGTATCTGCTGATATAAGTAGCAGAATGAACTGTTAAGTGTGCTGGGCCATGATCTCTGCTCAGATTCAACCAAATGCTGCACAGCCAATCAGACAGTGCTTCACAGTACAGATGGACAATGACCCAAAGCACACTGCACAAGCAGAGAGAGTTTCTCAAGGCAAAGAAATGGGATATTCTTCAGTGGTCAAGTCAGCTTCTCAGTTACTGAAGACAAAACTGAGAGACCCACAAACAAGAAGCAACTGAAAGCAGCTGCAGTAAAGGCCTGGGAGAGTATTTCAAGGGAGGCAGTCATTAATAGTAAATGATTAAAGTATTAAAATGTCCCTTGTATTTAGGTTTATGTTACTTTGTACAATTATTTTTGAGCCTCTGATTTTTTTTTTTTTTTGTAAAAATAAAAAAATAACTGGAAGTCTGTGCTTGAATCTTATCTTGATTGTTTGATTTTAAATCCACTGTAGTGGTGTACAGGGACAAAACTACAACATGTGTGTCTGTGTCCAGCAAATTATGGATCTAATTTTTAAAAAATAAACATTTACTTAAGGTTTTTTTTCTCTTCTTTTTCCATATCTTGACTGCACAAGCAAGTATTCCACGGAAAAGGTAATCAGGATGTGAGAATAAGTAATCCTACACAGGAATTAGACTGTATGTAATACTGTGTCAAACCTCGTACCTGAAAGAGGAAGGAGATACAAACATCTGTCATGATGATGCTGATGCACTTTTGGAGATGGTCTGGTGTGTAATTAGAAAGTATGAGCAATTATGAATTTGCATTCTGTGAAGTTGCACAAAGAACTGAGTAATATCTAGTATATGATATCGTCTCTCAAATCCTACTTGAGTTTAAACCCACTCCACAGGTGTTTCCAGAGGAGAGTGCTGACTGGTCAGGAGAGAGAAAGTTAAAATGTAACCGTTAACACTGATAATGTTTGGTGAAGCTTTACAATGAGAAATGAATTCAATTTAAAAAGAAAATCAAGGTAGAAAAGGGTATAACAATGGTTCACTTTAATAGTCGAAGCTTACAGTAGCTTGCAAAAGTATTCGGCCCCCCTTCCACATTTTGTCACATTACAGCCACAAACATGAATCAATTATATTGGAATTCCACGTGAAAGACCAATACAAAGTGGCAAACACGTGAGAAGTGGAACCAAAATCATACATGATTCCAAACATTTTTTACAAATAAATAACTGAAAAGTTGGGTGTGCGTAATTATTCAACCCCCTGAGTCAATACTTTGTAGAACCACCTTTTGCTGCAGTTACAGCTGCCAGTCTTTTAGGGTATGTCTCTACGAGCTTTGCACATCTAGAGACTGAAATCCTTGCCCATTCTTCTTTGCAAAACAGCTCCAGCTCAGTCAGATTAGATGGACAGCGTTTGTGAACAGCAGTTTTCAGATCTTGCCACAGATATAATGTATAAAGTAAGAAATAAATTGCTTCCAAAAGAAATGTATGTAAGAAATGTAAATTGTTCATAAAAAGAAAAGGTGGGTATAACTTAAGAGGGAAATGGAATTTAAAAATACAAAGTGCAAGAACAACTTTAAAAACTATGTCTATCTCAATTGCAGGAGTTAAATTATGGAACAGTCTAACAGAAGAAATAAAAGAAAGTAAAAATGTAACATGGTAGACTAATGTGCCTGTGTTAATTCAGCTCCATATTATTGTGTGAAGTTGCACTGGGTTGGGAGTGGTTTTGTGTGTGTGTGACATTTTTGGTGAGCCAATGGCTGGAATGGGGTTGGACTAATTAGAGGCAGGTGTACTTGATTGCACTGATACACTGGTCTACTTATAGCCCACACTACAAACACTGCTGTGTCGTTTTGTCTCTCTGTGCAGGTATGTAATGTGATGAAATCAGATATGTTTGGGATGGATGGGTTTTGTGCTATGAATTCTATAGTGAATGTGTCGTTTTGTCTCTCTGTGCAGGCCAGGGCTTATTATATGCCACAGCCTAAAGGCAGCAGAGTTGCAGAGGCTAGAGTGACCACTGGCTATATGCTTGCAGGGTGGTGGGTCTCCAAGGACAACTTCTAACCCTTTTAAAGGCAACACGTGGAGTGCAACTGGCCGTGTGGCATAGCTGGCTCTGGCCTTGGGACTGTGTGTTTTTATACGATTCATAAATGGAACACTGGACTGTTTTATCTTTTATCTTTTGATATTTTTTGTCAAATTATCTTTTAGAACTTTATTGACTGTCATCTTTTTGCCCACGACTGAAACGGTTGGTCAGACCTAGAGTCTTTCTTTGGGTGTGTTACAAAAACATAAACCAGTTTAAATTAAAATATAAAAACCCAATTTTAAATAAGTATAAGAATGAAGCAAACAGGGTTAACCCAGGACGGTAATGTTGCTGGTAACGGTGTTGTAGTTCTTTTTTTTGTTTTGTTTGTTTGTTTTTCCATAACTTGTGAATCTGCAAATTTGGGTAGGGAAAGATAAGTATATACTTCTGCCTACTCCTTTTCAAACAAATAATGGAATGATATCTTGTAATGATTGTGAAGACACGTTTGAAATGTTTGAAATAAAAATGAACTGAACTGAAATGTGTGCTATTTAACTAAAAATGCAGCCAAGGTGGGTTTTTGTTTTGTTTTTTTTAAAATAAACATTTTAAAATATTTACAGAACAATCAGGTGTTCTCCATCAAATTTGATGCCACACAAATTATTTGTGCCACTATGCGATAAAGGAGAACAACAGCCTGATACCTGCAGGCCTGACAACAGGAGATTTAGCACTCCTGTAACATTCAGTAGTCACCTCATTGTTCTGACACACACAACAAAACTATTGACTACACTACACACTAACTACACAAGATTTTCGCTAAACGTCAAAAATCTCTCACATCACTCCTAAAACTTCCCCCCTTCCTAAACAACTAAATGCCATGTTCCCCGTTGTTTTTCTTCTACTCCCTGTCTTTCTTGCTCCCTTTCCTTTCCCCTAGTCATGTCTGTCACGTATGTAACAACTGAAAATAAAATAAAATACACAATAATAATAACAAAGAAAAAATGTTGACTCTCAGCATTACTGTTCACGAGAAAATACAGTAATGTGATAAAAACAAGCACCTAAACTCCAACAGTATCTGAACAGCGTTCTTAGAACATGACTGAAATTTCAACAACAGCTTCTAAATGGACCTTGGATTCTTATTCTATTTGTGGAAGATCAGTAGCAAAAGTGACCACGTGGTGGAGTAGTTTGATTTAGTAGTAGCTTTTGTTTTATTTTTGTAACTCTAAGATTAAAGAGATCTTGTGTTCCTCTGTAGGTTTCATATAAGTTTTTCTTATTAGGTAATAGATTATTTGCAACTTTTTTCAATAGAAATTAAGAAAACAATAGAAAAGAAATAACAGAAAAATAAATACTAACTATATTATCTAGTTTTATTGAGTGATTGTAATAATCCTACTTTTACAGCTGACTTCAGGCTGACTTTCAGTATTTCCCACAGACAGCATAAAGATATATCATCTATATGTTCTATAGTCTCTAGTATTTCCACACGCAGTCCCGCCTTCGTGGGATTCCATCTGTGACGTCCCACATGGTAAACGTTTTCCCCCCTCTTCAGCTACGTGGTGTTGCAACTATTTACACAAGCGACGCTGAAGCCACTCTGCTGGGTGATGTTGGATATTGTCGCAGCTGAATTGTGCGTTTTGGCACAATCCTGTCATATTTAAAACACTTGCGGACCTGTGCTGTGGGACGAAAAGAAGCAGTTTAAGTTCTCGGGACCGGTCATGGCAAAGAAATCAGAAAAACCCGATTGGGTGGTTTTGTTTTCTACGACTATAGCAATACTTGTGTGGATTCCTGTCAGCGGTAAGTTGTTAATTTTCTTTCAAAGACTGTGTTTTGCTGCACTGACATCATTCTCATAAAGTTCAGAGCTCGGTCCGGGTCTCCTGTCCACTACTTTGCAGAGAGAGAAGTATGACGGACCGCAGCTGGGACAGATTTAAATATCTGATTAAATAGTTTTGTATCAGTCTCTGGAAAACCGAGAAGGTTTCTTTGGATTTCTTTTTGTAGCATTTTGCTTTTTAATTAAGTCACAAAATGTGGCATAAACGGAACGGTGGGAGTGAGAGCGCGTCAGGATAGCTATAAATTAAAAATCCCGTGAGTTATAATTCATAGAAAAGCTTCAACAATGCTGACTGCATAAACTGTATTTCCATTTTACCATTTATTCATTCTAACATAAGCTAACATGCCTTTTGTAAACAGCACAACCTTCCGGGACCTCGGAGCCTCTTGTGATACCTCGAGTTGTTTCTCGGATGTATCTGAGTCCAGATGAGCTCAGGAAACTCCGCTTTAAGCCCACAGTAGGCACCATTCAGCTGTCAGAGGGCCATGAAGCCAAACTGAACTGTTCCATTGAAATTCCTGATACCAGACTGGAGCCCGCCATCCTGTGGATGAAGGATAGTAAGGAGCTGTCACCAAACATCCATGTGGTGATGTATGAGCTCCACTCCATCACAGATGGGGTATCAACTCTCCTCTCCACTGTCATGTATGTATCACATGAAGGTGAAATGTGTGTGATATGACAGGTTAGGTACATAAACTGAAGTGTCCTTATGCATTACATATTACAGCATTAAACATGTGCAGAGAGTGGATGCTGGAGATTATCATTGCCGACTGAGTATCAGCAACATGTTGGTAGAGTCTGATCCGATCAGCATTCGGGTAGAAGGTGAGTTTTAGTATCCAGAGTATTCAAAACTTCTTTGTCCACACGTTTCTCAGTTCTTTCACACTTCTTTAATCTGACTTATGTCTGCCAACATTTGTCAAGCAACCAGAGGACATGTCTGCATGACTTTCCGCAAGAGTCTGTTTCTTAGACCATGCACAAGTGAGGAGCACTGCTTTCCACCAATGTTCATGACGACCTTCTGAATGACTTCAAAGGTGTACTTAAGTTCCTTTGGATAGTCTATGTTGAGGGCAAAAAGAAGACCCATCAGCATGGAAATGGCACTCAGGACATCCCTCAGATTAGACAGGATTACTGCCGCATAAAGGACAACCAACACATCGATGATGCCTTTTTTTTTCACCATCACAATGCCAACTTTCAACTCTTAGTAAACGTGTCTTCAATATCTGTGGGTTATAAAAGGGTTCAAAGACAAAAAGAACAAAAAAATATTTACCATACTTGACTTAGAAAAATACACAATGTCCCTTGTGCTTTAGAATTCATGTCTTTCCAAAGAAGAGCCATACTGATGCCTTGGATGATGGTGATTGACTTTGGGTAACACTTATTAGTTGTTGAAATTTTTTTCAGAATGAGATATGCACCCCCATGTTGCAAATCCATTTCTTGCTTTAAACAAAGACCATGTTCATAATTAACAGAGCATGTCTTCATTTGCAGAATGCAAACAAAAATTTAAATTTAAATTTACCTGTGCTAAATATTGGCTGTGCTCTGAGTCAAATGTAACTGAGAATACATGAAATGTGCAAACTGAAGCTAAACTGCAAGATCAGAATGTGGCTCCACAGACAATGCTTCTTTAATCAGTAACAGATTTTTTTCCTCTTATATTAACAGCATGAAAAAATAGCAGGTTGGCTGGACAGGTTGCATAACTGGCACTGAATATCAACATCCAGCTTTACCCAGCTGTCCAATGACTCTGGGCCAGTGACCTTTAACTGCTTACCCAGTCTACACAATCTCTTTTCCAGGGTCCAGGACATTTCACCCAAGTATTGCCCCCGACAGCTGTAGTAGCCACTGCAACCCCTTAAATAACCTAATATCTCAGCCATTACAATATACAATGTGAGAAATCAAACGCAAAGCTGTAGTGAACAGTACAGCAGCGAAATGTCAAAGACCCTGGTGAAGACATGAGTAAACACAAGAAACTAACATTAATGCTAGTTTGCCAGTTAGTATCTCTGAAACCCAGACCAAATCCAGTGTCACAGATCTCATAATAATACATTTGGTAAGGAAAGAGTATAGATGTTATCTTGTGGCATCCACAGGGAGTAGGGTGTTAACCCTTTGAGTTAAAGCCTAAAGTCTGCACTTCAATCACATCTTGATTGTTTGATTTAAATCCACTCTGGTGGTGTAATTATTGAATTAACTAAAAGAAACGATGCTAACCTTCACAGTCTTGAAAGTGTGTGAGGCAATTAATACAATACAAAATACTTCATAGAGTGCACTATACAGGTCATCGGATGTTCAAGATGGGCTTTACATCTTCCAACAACTGCTCACACTGTCAAGGCAATACACCAGACAATTACATCCACGCTCTTTGGTTCTGTCCACCAGTGCAAAAGGTTTGGCGCGAGATATGTGAAGACTTATCAAAGTGTCTGAAATGTAACATTCCAACTTCCCCCTTAGTGTGTTTGTTGGGCAGCTTAGATAATGTCACTTCAGAAAAGAATATAGCCCATATGATCTTCACTGCCCTATGCATAGCCAAGAAAACAGTCCTCATGAACTGGAAAAATAAAAATAATCTTAATTCTAACCAATATAGAAATTATCTATTAGATTACATTAGTCTTGACACAGCCTCTGCCACCACATTAGATCAATTGCTCTGGGCCCCTTTTATCAGCTCCATCACCTAGTGGGGGTGGGGGGTCATAGTTTGGTCCCGCCTTCACTGTTGTGATTGGTGAGGGGGTAGGGACAGGCTTAGGGCGTCGGGGGGTTCCCCGGAGGCATCTTCCTTGGGGGGCTCAACCCGGGGTAGCGGTCATGTCCGGTTAGGGGCTCTGTTGGCTCTCAGGTGACTGTTTCCTCGCGGCTGCGCGCAGCGGGGCTAGGGGAGGGTCTGTGCTGACGGACGTGGGTTACTGACCTGGCAACCTGGCTGCCCCTGGGTGGGTCCGGGATGGGCGTGAGGTTCTGGGGGCGCTCCGTCTCTGGGCTGGGGCCCGGGCCGGGCCTCGGGGGCTTGGGTCCTGGTTGGTGTGTTGCCGGGGTTGTGGGCGGGTGGGTGCATGGGGGCCCGGCCCTGGAGCAGGGTGCCGCCGGTGCGTCGAGCCGCCTGGGGGCTCTTCAACTGGTGGGGGGGATGGTCACATCTTGCAGGAGCTTTCTTCTCTTCAGGAACTCTCTGCAGGAGGGGGAGATACAGGAGAGGTGGAGGAAGATCTCAGCCTGGGCGTTTACCGTCTTATGTAGTCTGGAAGATGTGTGGATGGTGGGGTGGGTGCAGTTTTCTCTGTGGTGGGGTTGGGTGGACTGTCCAGGGCTCTGTGGAGCCGGAGGGCGCTACTGCACTGGGCCCCGGTCTGATGGGCCTGGGCCCCCTTCCCTGGCGGGTCGCGAAGGGTGGGAGTGCCTACTGGGGTCAGCGGGGGAGCTGGCCCCAGGGAGGGGTTACCTGCCCCTCCCTTCCTTCCCTCCCCATCTCCAGCTGCCTCCCTCTTCCCGCTCCTCCACAACCACCCACACATGCAGGGCCTTGGAGTGGGGGTATGTCACCAGGGTGCAGAGGAGGCTACCCCCCCCCTGTCCCCTTCTGGCTGCCTCTGCCTCAATTTTATCCCACAACTTAGACATTCACATCATTCACACTCTCATTACACATACATATAGGATCTTGGGGGTGGGCACAATCACGGAGTCCAAATTACCATCAGGGTGTATACCTCACCCCTGACGTCGTTGCCCACCTCTCAATTTTAAATACACTTAGTCATTGAGGGCTATCAGGAGGGACTATGCGCTTACCTGCTGCTCCTTGGCAGGTAGCTCCATGCCCTCCTGGGTTTTAATTGCACCTTAGAACACATATGCATCAACACTACAATGAGCGGGTGGAGGGAGGTTTGGAGTCTTTTCCCACCCCCATTCTCTGCGGCCTGCTGGAGCGGGAGGGCTAGTAGGAGGAGTTGGCCGTCCGACTGCGGTCTGGAGTGTGGAGCCTTCCTGCTGCTGCGGAGTCGGGGTGGTCTGCCTCTCCCCACCGCAGGGAAAAGGGTAACACCACCTGGGTCTGGGTGCAATTCCCCCCTCCAGGGGCAAGGGTACCTAGACCCGGTTTGTAGAGTACGCTTGAGGAGTGTGATTGTGTGTACAGCGTCTCTTTATGTCTGTCTCCACGTTGGTTGAGTGTGGAGTGAGTGCATATGAGAGCATGAGGGTGGGAATGGATGTTTGTGTCTGTGTGTGCCTGTATGTCTGTGTCTATATGTCAGGTTGGGTATCAGACGCCACCTCTCTGGGGACACCTCAGGCCCTCCAAGGTTTGGAGGCCTATCTCCACCCACCACCACTTCCCCTGCCGGTGGCGGACTCCCTCAGGTGTCGGTGTGTTGGTGGTTCTTTGTGTCTGGGGGTGGGCGTCCGGGTACACACCGGCTCACTCCTTGGCGGCCGCTTGTCGGGGCCTGGGGCCTGGGGCTCGCTCGGGCCCCCTTTGGAGGTGGGGTGCCCCCGGCCTCTCGGCCTGGGGCTCGGTCACTCAGGCACAGCTGGGGGCCGGCGGAGCTCACGGGCACGTCACTGCAACTCCCCTGACTTCTGCTCCGCGGCTGCTGGGCGAGCCCTCATCTGGGACTCTCCTCAGCTCTTACTGGAACAGTGGCGCGGCTGCCCCTCTGTTGGTCTTCCATGGTCTCTTGTGTTCTGGGGGCCTCTGGATGTCTGGAGTTTTGATCTCCTCCATACCCGCTTCACACCCTGGAGGACGGGGCTGTGGCCCCCCCACACTCCCTAGCAGATCATTACATGGAGAAACCTTTGGAATGCAAGCATGCTGATCCACACAGGTATGCACACATGGGTATTCACAGACACGGACTAAAGCTTTCTTGGCTGCTGCCTCAAAGCACACTGTGCGCTGTCTATCTTGCGTGCTGCACAATATCGTTTATTATTTAGTAAATATTGATATCTATGACTAGCTAGTTTATTGTGATGGTGCTTTGTTTTCTCTATTATTATGTTGCTCTTTGTTGTTTGCTGTCTCCTCTGTTTGTTTTTTTTGTTGTTTGTTTTTTTTTTTTCTCCATACAGGTGACCCAGGAGTTCTTTTTTTTTTCTCTCTCTTCCCCCCCCTTCTCACCGTCTCTTCTCCCCTTTGGTTTTCTTTCTTTCTCTCCCCCTCTTTCTCTCATTCATTCCCCCTGTCCTATTTATTAAAAAAATATATATATATATATATATATATATATATATATATAAGACAAAGGATGAACTGAAGCTCTGCCATCACGTAATGTCGCATACTGCTGTTTCTGATGTCATTAAAAAAAAAGAAAAAAAAAAAAAAAAAAAAAAAAAGAAAGTGTGTGAGGGATCTTCCTTAAGAAAATGAGGTCCTCTGTCCTCTTCCTTTGTGTAGAGCTCTGGTCAAACAAGTCAAAAAGAAAACAAAAAAACTTTTCAAACTGTCTTTATGAAGCATGTAGACAGCTCCAAATTCACAGCTTTTTGCTACATAATTCCATCAATATATGATTATCATTGGAAATAACTGGGTCAGTTACACCTGTCTTGTTTGTTTTAATATTTTTGATATCTTTTAATTTGAGTCAGGCTGATCAGCACATTCAAGCAGAATATGATACCCAACCTATCACCAATATATACCGATTCTGTAAAAGTTAACACACTAAGTGTCCAGTTGTGAAATATGATGACAGACTTTACTTATCAGCTTTCTTTGAACGAGTTCATCAGTTGAACTGGATAACCTAAACTTAAACAAAGGAGAACAATTAGCAGTTGAACACTTACATCATCATCGAAGCATTTTATGAGCCTATAGCCCTGCTATGCCGCTCTTGGTTTTGTACAGTTCCATGAACCTCTCCATATTGGTCAAGCACAGCAAAGCGGGACCCTTTCAGGTCAACAGATGTGAGTTGGGCAAATTCTGCTTCAGCCTGAGCAATAGAAGAAGAGGGGTGGGGAGTACAGGCCGAATTTTTTTTAAATGCTTTGAGACATAAATTTAAGCAAACTGTAATCTGAGGCCCATTAGAGAAAACACACACACACACATAAGCAAACAAAAAAAAAGATGCACGTTATCTGCTGTTCAGCGAACAAGCATGTTCAGAGAACAACAAGCTCTGTCTTGAAATCTTTTAAAGTAGAATGAGTGTGAAAACGACTCTTATGTGACAAACCTTCAGTTATGGATTTTATTACAACCACAAGACCCTAAAAAGTCTGCTCCATTGCTTTTGTTAATGAATCATTTGTTGGTAGCGTTTCTGAATATTTAGTTTATGCCACCTGCATGTGATCATCGATAGCGCAATATTACTTCTTCAGAAGTTACCCTGACACTACAATCTTTATATCATTTGTTCTACAGAGCTATTAAATTACAATATAATCTGTGGTGTTTCCCGTATGAAAAAATACACAAAAGGTAACTTACCATTTGACTCCATTGACAAAAATAAATGCCCAGCATCAAGTTTGGCTTCACAGACCTAAAATAAAATAAAGATATATGTTATAATTATATTGTTGTATATAAACAATGTTATTATTGTTACAACACAGGGAATGCAGTTAAATTAAAAGCTAAATTATGCACACACACACACACACACACACACACACACACACACACACACACACACACACACACACAATCAGAAACAACCCACGGGACTTCTGCAGTATACCATGCCAAAAATCAGTGTCTCTGATACCAATTATTAGTTATTATTCATTATTAATTATTAGTATGGAAACTCACACAATTTGGTCATACTGATCACAAGAGTTCAAAAATATGGAGCTGTTGTTAAGCATAAAGTATTTCAGGGAAAGTAATAATTGTACAATATCATTACTGCAAGAAATAATCACACTGGAGGACAATCTGATAAAAACTAATATAATGCTGGTTTGCAGACCATATTTTGTCTCAATCCTCAGTGCACTCTTGCAGCTTAGCATGCAGCAGTACATAACAACTTAAGTGATTACATAGGGGTAAACAGATGACATCAAGCATAGCAGTCCTGCCAAAAGTTATTTTTGAACCCAGTCAGTTATTGGAAATATTGCCAAAATGAACTTCCACCAAAATACAACAGCCTGTGAACTTGAAAGAAATTTACAAGTACAGAGACAATATGAAATGAGCTTCATTAATTAGCTGAATTAGCTTGCTAATATCGCAACAGTGGTTGAATGTGAAACCTTAAAGCTAGAGGCACAATACTTTTGATTTTGTCCGTGCTACATTAAACCCATAAAAAAGGCCACATGTCAGTTTATTAGGTTAAGTTTTGTCATGACACACAAGCTGGACCTTGTCGGCTAAAGTTACATTAGCTAAAGCAAACATTTTGGTAAAATAGAAAAAGACGCCTCATGCCATAAATTCAAAACATGTTCCAACTTTTGTAGCTCTCTTTCCTTATAGTTACGACCAATGTTACTCACCTTGAAAGCAGATTCCAATGAAGACAGTTAGAAAACGTCCAAGTAAAGTGACCATGTTGTTAACCGCTAATTCCCAAGAGGGTTATTGATCCCCTGTTGATCCTCTACCCAATCACACAAGCCAAGGTGTGGGTCACAATCAGCCAAGGTTTCGAGTTAACCCATTGTAAAACCTGACCCCACTTTATCATGTGATTTACTGAGATCAAATGGCCCAGGATGTGAGAGAAACCTAAAGAAGTCTAGACGCGCTTTTCTTTCCAAGCTCCATAGACTACGATGACTTAAATGACTGAGAACCTTCACAGACATTTTGGACCAGCAGCTGTTTCTTTCCTTCTTCATACTTTTACTTTATGTCTTTCTGGTATAAGTTAACCTTGGTTTCATCTGTACAAAACTTTTTGTAAAGCTGGTCAGATTCTTTTAGATGTTTTCTAGCAAAGTGTCATTTGGCCTTCTTGTTTTTGAGTGTGACCAGTAGTTCGTTGCTCATTGTAAACCATCTGTATTTTAATTTTTGAAGTCGTCTGTTGGCCGTAGATCATGATATTGTTACGTCTACCTCCTTGATAGTGTTCTTGAATTGATTAGATGTAGTTTTGAAGCTGTTTTTCTTCACCATGGAAATAATTCTGTGATCACGCACTTTAGTTCTCTGTGGTCTTTCAGGGCTTTCATTGGTCCTGAACTGGTCAGTTTATTGCTTCTTTTTAAGAATTGTGCTGTCTCTCTAATAGCTTCATTTTGTTTCATCAACCTAATGATGGCCCCCCTCACCGGTATGGACATCTCTTTGGTCTTGTATTTAAAATTACCAGGAAAAGCTATAACCCCCCCCCACAACAATACATCAAATCAACTCCAGATATTATGTTTGCTTCATTTGTCATGAAATGAAAGGCCTACCCTGACCATGAAAGTTCTTATCATTCAACTGATAGTAAACTTTTAGTCCCTGAAAATGGGAGACTGTGTATAAAACACCCAGTACGAAATGTTCCCTAAAGTTTTCATGTTCATATCACTTTATGTGTTAGATCAGGACAGAACTGAAAGACATTAGTTTAAGTTTTAAAACAGAATTAACCAGAGAATTCAGGGAATTTGTCTTGACTAACTGATTATTTCACTCTACATTAATGTTAACATCAATGTAGGCTTTTTTTTTTGTCATGACTGCCTGCAGGTTTCCCCAACCTTATAAACAGTTCATCTATATAGTGACTGAAAATGGTACCACTGACTAACAATGGGTCGTGAGGTCATTGTTAGGCAATGGTACTAGTTTCGGTCTGAAAAAGTCACTGGGATGGGTGAAGAAACGTTTCTCACAGTGAAAACGAAACATCCAGATGTTGTTGGAATGTTTTAAATTAATAATCAGTTGTTTGAGAAAACCCCTTCCCACCAAACTTCAAATCTTACTTACTGTCAGACCTACTCTACATTGTTTTAAAGCTTAGCAGTGTTCCATGAAATATTTTCTTGTAAAATCAATACCATATCTTTATCAAGTATATTTCCCTTTTACCATTTATTCATTCTAACATAAGCTAACATGCCTTTTGTAAACAGCACAACCTTCCAGGACCTCGGAGCCTCTTGTGATACCTCGAGTTGTTTCTCGGATGTATCTGAGTCCAGATGAGCTCAGGAAACTCCGCTTTAAGCCCACCGTAGGCACCATTCAGCTGTCAGAGGGCCATGAAGCCAAACTGAACTGTTCCATTGAAATTCCTGATACCAGACTGGAGCCCGCCATCCTGTGGGTGAAGGATAGTAAGGAGCTGTCGCCAAACATCCATGTGGTGATGAATGAGCTCCACTCCATCACAGATGGGGTATCAACTCTCCTCTCCACTGTCATGTATGTATCACATGAAGGTGAAATGTGTGTGATATGACAGGTTAGGTACATAAACTGAAGTGTCCTTATGCATTACATATTACAGCATTAAACATGTGCAGAGAGTGGATACTGGAGATTATCGATGCCGACTGAGTATCAGCAACATGTTGGTAGAGTCTGATCCGATCAGCATGCGGGTAGAAGGTGAGTTTTAGTATCCAGAGTATTCAAAACTTCTTTGTCCACACGTTCCGCAGTTCTTTCACACTTCTTTAATCTGACTTAGGGCTGCCAACATTTGTCCAGCAACCAGAGGACAAGAACATAACAATATAGTTTTACAAGTCTGGGGATTAGGCTAGCTTAGCATTAAGACTGTAAATTTTCCCAAAACACCACATTTTGCAGATTCTTATGACCATTAAAAGTGATCGGAAAAATAAGGGCAGCAAAGATTTGCTTGACAGTATTTCAATTTTGAACCTTAACCAACAGGCCACGAGACACGCTGCATTTTGGTTTCTCTATGAACAAACAAACAGTTTAGAGTTAGGTTCTTAATTTGTTGAACAAATTTTTAGTTTTTTCTCTGTACACCACTACACTGTCATTATGTCTTTATCAAACAATCCAGATGAGATTGAAGCGCAGACATCCAGTTTTAATTCTACTGCTTTTACAAAAAAATTGCATTAACTAAGAATTCGAACCAGTTTTATACCCAGTCCATTTACAGAGGTCAAGGCTTGTGGATGTCTTTTATTATTCAAATTTGTATTTAATAAGAGCAATCATGCTCTATTGTGTTGAGGTCAGGTGACTGACCTGCACATTGAAGAATATCCCATTTCTTTTGCTTGAGAAACTCTTGGATTGCTTTTCGTGTGCTTTGGACCTTCACTCCATTTGTAGTGTGATGAGCTCTCTGATCAGTTTTGCAGCATTTGAATCTGAGGAGAGACCATAATCCTTTAAACTTCACAGTTAATCCCACTACTATCAACAGTAGTGGGATTTTTGCTGAGAGTAGATTATTATATTCATATTTTAAAGACAGTATTATTTATGTAGCATAGTGGATGGCATTTGGGCGTTCTCTTTATCCAAATCTTTAATTTGCCTGCCCAAGTCAAGGAGCTTAGCCCGGTTTCTCTTCCTTCTGGCTAATTCAAAAGAGATAATAGCACTCCTTAAATAGGCCTTAAAGGCCTCCTAAAGTGTAGCAGGCTTAGTTTCTGAGTTGTCATTTACATCAAAATACAGAGAGATCCGTGTTTCGAAATATTCATGAAAATCCTATCGAGGGTTTAGCCAATCGAAGTTAAGCCTCCATGTTTGCTGTGGTCTAGTTGCATTTTGGATGTTTAAGGTTAATGTGACAGGGGAGTGGTCCGAGATGACAATATTGTGATATTTTGTGTCAATGACATACAGCATTAATTTGGCATCCAAAAGAAAGTAGTCACTTCTACTATATGAATTATGCCTAGTTGAAAAGAAAGAGTAATCCCTACCAGTGGGGTTTGCAATTCTCCAAACATCAGACACATTCGAATTATCAGTAAAAGTGTTAAGAAAAGCACTGGAGTTGTTCCTGACCTACTTAGTTAAAGAAGACCTGTCAAGGTAGGGGTCCAACACACAATTAAAATCATGGTTAAAATCATCATTAAAATCTAAGACATGGTGCAGCACAAACCAGCACAAACGTAGCACAAAAGTTTGACATCAAATTTGTTTGATTTGGGTAATGTGGGGGGGCTGGTTGACCTCTGATGACCTCTAGAAATTTTTATTAATATCTTTAAAATGATAGCGGCACAAATGAAATTTTTGCAGCACAAACCAGCACAAACGTAGCACAAATGTTTGATACCACTTTTGTTGGATTTGAAGAAGGTGGGGGGGCCAACTTCACTCACGTTCGAAGTTTGGGCTTCACCATTGTCGAGAAGCTCCAAGAAATATATCCACAGTATTCAGCAGGTTATGAATTTGATGAAAAAATGTGTTTGAGCACGTCAAACACATTTTCACCAGCTATCCCGGGGGACTTCACGCGCACATGCCTCACTAGCGCCCCCAAGGAGTGAATCATTCTTAATGGAGATTTTTTTTTTTCCTATGATGTTTCAGCCGGGCCTCACTCTCACTTCTTGATTCAGAATGACATGCCAGTCTTGCCCCAGATTCATCTTTGACACATAAACAAATCAGTTTGAGAGTGGTGACGATGTGTGTTGCTGGTTTGTGCTCTGCCTTTGTGTTATAGATTAATAACAGCAGGGCTGAGTCAGTGCTGTCATAACCTTGAAGACTGGTTGTTTTTGTTTCACGCTGCCCTGAAGTGCTACATGATTCACTCAAAAATCTCAACTGCAGGTGTGGATAAATGCACTCGGTTCAGCTGTGAAGCTAACAACACAAAGGGCATCACCACATCCAGAGAAGCACACGTCAGTGTTATGAAGCCCATGCCAATGCTTTACAAGATGGTAGCTGATACTGGGTTGTTATTGTTTGTTTTTTTTGGTGTTTTCTAGTTCGTCCCAGACCTCCCACTCATGTTACTGTGACAGAGAGGCAGTCCAATAAGCTGACGTTGAGCTGGACTCCTGGGCATGATGGCTTCTCTCCACTCACCACGTGCCGAATCAGAGTAAGCCCCATGTTTAATCCAAACTGTGCCATTGTTTAACAGCGTCATACTGATCACATGTTCTCCGATCTAAGGTTAGAGAGGTCAGTCGGAGGGAAGGGGAAGTGACGACCACCAGGTTCATCAACGTCACAGTGCCGCCTTTTCACAGTGAAGTCCCTGGACTGCAGGCTATGACGAAGTACAACCTGAGTGTTTCCTGCAGTAACGAACAGGGCGCCTCTCCAAACAGCAAGTGGGTCGAGAGCAACACCACAGAAGGAGGTGTGTTGATGCTACAGGAACGATTTGAAGGTTGAATTATAATGCACACCAAGAAAACTTTAACAATGCAAAGTATTCCTAAATGAAATTAAACTCATCCCAGCATTTAAAACCCAGCATATAAAAATGCTCAGTCTGTGTTTGTCTTACAAACGATGATGATATTTACAATACAGGACCTGTGTGTTGTGCTCCTGCCTCCTTCCCATCATTCTTGTTTAGCTTTCAGGAGCACTGTGTAATTAACTGACTACTTTACTATCCAAAATGTGCTTAATGTAAGCTTGCTCACAGTTGCAGTGCAATAATAACTGGAATTTTCTGCACTTGCACAACTACCTGATCTGCCCACAGCAAGCCCTGTTCAGAAAATAATTGGACAGTTGACTGACAAGGTGATGCCTGCTCCCTTGATATTTCATGACAAATTAAAGTACTCATACTAATGCACAGGTTGAATGCATGGTTTTCACTGTTTAAAAATGAGGCCAGAATTAATGTGTGTGCAAATGAGGGAGACTTATGATTTAAATCATGTTACATTATCAGTCAAACATGGTGGAGGCAATGTTATGGCGCTATAGCAATGTATGGCTGTCAGTGAGTCTGGATCAGAGGTGATTATTGACGATGTATCTGCTGATATAAGTAGCAGAATGAACTGTTAAGTGTGCTGGGCCATGATCTCTGCTCAGATTCAACCAAATGCTGCACAGCCAATCAGACAGTGCTTCACAGTACAGATGGACAATGACCCAAAGCACACTGCACAAGCAGAGAGAGTTTCTCAAGGCAAAGAAATGGGATATTCTTCAGTGGCCAAGTCAGCTTCTCAGTTACTGAAGACAAAACTGAGAGACCCACAAACAAGAAGCAACTGAAAGCAGCTGCAGTAAAGGCCTGGGAGAGTATTTCAAGGGAGGCAGTCATTAATAGTAAATGATTAAAGTATTAAAACATCCCTTGTGTTTAGGTTTATGTTACTTTGTACAATTACTTTTGAGCCTCTGATTTTTTATTGTTTTTTGAAAAACAATTGAACTGGAAGTCTGTGCTTGAATCTCATCTTGATTGTTTGATTTAAAATCCACTGTAGTGGTGTACAGGGACAAAACTACAACATGTGTGTCTGTGTCCAGCAAATTATGGATCTAACTTTCAAAACCAAACATTTACTTTAAGTTTTTGTTTTCCTCCTTTTCCATATCTGGACTGCACAAGTAAGTATTCCACGGAAAAGGCAATCAGGATGTGAGAATGAGTGATCCTACACAGGAATTAAACTGCATGTAATACTGTGTCAAACCTCGTACCTGAAAGAGGAAGGAGATACAAACATCTGTCAAGAAGATGCTGATGCACTTTTGGAGATGGTCTGATTTGTTATCAGAAAGTATAAGCACTTGTGAATTTGCATTCTGTGAAGTTGCACAAAGAACTGAGTAATATCTAGTATATGATATCGTCTCAAAAATCCTGCTTGAGTTTAAACCCACTCCACAGGTGTTTCCAGAGGAGAGTGCTGACTGGTCAGGAGAGAGAAAGTTAAAATGTAACCGTTAACACTGATAATGTTTGGTGAAGCTTTACAATGAGAAATGCAATGTGGCCATCAATCAATAATGCCAAACAAGAATCTACAGAAGAAAGCTTGATGGACGTTGAAGTGTTGCTTTTTCGACTCCTCTCAAGAATACATTTTGAACCTACTGCTCTCTGGCAGGTAGCTCCGTGGTTTTAAATGCACCTTAGAACACACATGCATCAACACTACATATGAATGGGCGGAGGGAGGTTTGGAGTCTTTACACCCCCGTTCTCTGTTGCCCGTCGGGGCGGGGGTGCTGGGAGGAGGAGTTGGCTGTCCGATTGGGGTCTGGAATGTGGGGCCTCCCTGCTACTGTGGAGTCGGGGGCAGTCTGCTTCTCTCCACCCCAGGGAAAAGGGTAACACCTCCTGGTTCTGGGTGCAGTTTACCCCTCTAGCAGTAAGGGTACCTAGATCTGGGGTGCAGAGTAAGTTTGGGGAGTGTGATTGTGTGTACAGTGTCTCTCTATGTCTGTCTCTAGGTTGGGTGAGTGCTGAATATTTGCATATGTGTGCATGGGGGTGGGAATGGATGTTCGTATTTCTATGTGCATGTTTGTCTGTGTCTATATGTCAGGTCGGGTATTAGACGCCACCTCTCTAGGGACATCTCAGGCCCTCCAAGGTATGGAGGTCTATCTCCGCCCACCACTCCCAATGCTGGTGCCCTCAGACATCGGTGCATTGGTGGCTCTTGGTGTTCGGGGCTGGGCATTCAGGTACGCACCGGCTCACTCCCAGTGACTGCTTGTCGGTGAGGCCCCTTTGGGGGTGGGGTACCCTCTGCCTCTGGACCTGGGGCTCGGTCCACTCTGGCACAGGTGGCTGCTGGCGGAGCTCACAGGCACGTCATTGCAAACCCCTCTGGCTTCTGTTATTCGGCTGCTGGGTGACCCCTCATCTCAGGCTCTCCTCAGCTCTTTCCGAGAGAGTCGCACGGTTCCTCTTCCCCGCTGTTTTTCCTTCTACTCCCTGTCTTTCTTGCTCCCTTTCCTTTCCCCTAGTCATGTCTGTCACGTATGTAACAACTGAAAATAAAATAAAATACACAATAATAATAACAAAAAGAAAAAATGTTGACTCTCAGCATTACTGTTCACGAGAAAATACAGTAATGTGATAAAAACAAGCACCTAAACTCCAACAGTAACTGAACAGCGTTCCTAGAACATGACTGAAATTTCAACAACAGCTTCTAAATGGACCTTGGATTCTTATTCTATTTGTGGAAGATCAGTAGCAAAAGTGACCACGTGGTGGAGTAGTTTGATTTAGTAGTAGCTTTTGTTTTGTTGTTATTTTTGTAACTCTAAGATTAAAGAGATCTTGTGTTCCTCTGTAGGTTTCATATAAGTTTTTCTTATTAGGTAATAGATTATTTGCAACTTTTTTCAATAGAAATTAAGAAAACAATAGAAAAGAAATAACAGAAAAATAAATACTAACTATATTATCTAGTTTTATTGAGTGATTGTAATAATCCTGCTTTTACAGCTGACTTCAGGCTGACTTTCAGTATTTCCCACAGACAGCATAAAGATATATCATCTATATGTTCTATAGTCTCTAGTATTTCCACACGCAGTCCCGCCTTCGTGGGATTCCATCTGTGACGTCCCACATGGTAAACGTTTTCCCCCCTCTTCAGCTACGTGGTGTTGCAACTATTTACACAAGCGACGCTGAAGCCACTCTGCTGGGTGATGTTGGATATTGTCGCAGCTGAATTGTGCGTTTTGGCACAATCCCGTCATATTTAAAACGCTTGCGGACCTGTGCTGTGGGACGAAAAGAAGCAGTTTAAGTTCTCCGGACCGGTCATGGCAAAGAAATCAGAAAAACCCGATTGGGTGGTTTTGTTTTCTACGACTATAGCAATACTTGTGTGGATTCCTGTCAGCGGTAAGTTGTTAATTTTCTTTCAAAGACTGTGTTTTGCTGCACTGACATCATTCTCATAAAGTTCAGAGCTCGGTCCGGGTCTCCTGTCCACTACTTTGCAGAGAGAGAAGTATGACGGACCGCAGCTGGGACAGATTTAAATATCTGATTAAATAGTTTTGTATCAGTCGCTGGAAAACCGAGAAGGTTTCTTTGGATTTCTTTTTGTAGCATTTTGCTTTTTAATTAAGTCACAAAATGTGGCATAAACGGAACGGTGGGAGTGAGAGCGCGTCAGGATAGCTATAAATTAAAAATCCCGTGAGTTATAATTCATAGAAAAGCTTCAACAATGCTGACTGCGTAAATCACCTTGTTTTTCTCCTTGCGTGGTCCAATTATGCTATGCGTGCTCTTTAAAAAGCAAATCCAATGTGTTCTTTTTCCACTCTGTTAAATAATATGCAGTAAATAACCCTTGCCCTGATTAATTGTTACGATAATTTCCACTTTTTTCTCTGAAATTTTATAATGTTTCTAACTGTCCCGATGCATGCTCAAACACGTTGCGTTTCGGTGGGAGAGTGCGTTTTCACCTAAGTGACCTCTTCAGTCTCAACTGCCTGCAGGTTTCCCCAACCTTATAAACAGTTCATCTATTGAAAATGGTACCACTGACTGACAATGGGTCGTGAGGTCATTGTTAGGCAATGGTACTAGTTTCGGTCTGAAGAAGTCACTGGGATGGGTGAAGAAACGTTTCTCACAGTGAAAACGAAACATCCATTCATGAATTTGAATGCTAATCAATAAAATAAAAAAAAAAAACAAAAAAACAAACCCGAAACATCCAGATGTTGTTGGAATGTTTTAAATTAATAATCAGTTGTTTGAGAAAACCCCTTCCCACCAAACTTCAAATCTTACTTTACTTACTGTCAGACCTACTCTACATTGTTTTAAAGCTTAGCAGTGTTCCATGAAATATTTTCTTGTAAAATCAATACCATATCTTTATCAAGTATATTTCCATTTTACCATTTATTCATTCTAACATAAGCTAACATGCCTTTTGTAAACAGCACAACCTTCCAGGACCTCGGAGCCTCTTGTGATACCTCGAGTTGTTTCTCGGATGTATCTGAGTCCAGATGAGCTCAGGAAACTCCGCTTTAAGCCCACCGTAGGCACCATTCAGCTGTCAGAGGGCCATGAAGCCAAACTGAACTGTTCCATTGAAATTCCTGATACCAGACTGGAGCCCGCCATCCTGTGGGTGAAGGATAGTAAGGAGCTGTCGCCAAACATCCATGTGGTGATGAATGAGCTCCACTCCATCACAGATGGGGTATCAACTCTCCTCTCCACTGTCATGTATGTATTACATGAAGGTGAAATGTGTGTGATATGACAGGTTAGGTACATAAACTGATGTGTCCTTATGCATTACATATTACAGCATTAAACATGTGCAGAGAGTGGATGCTGGAGATTATCGATGCCGACTGAGTATCAGCAACATGTTGGTAGAGTCTGATCCGATCAGCATGCGGGTAGAAGGTGAGTTTTAGTATCCAGAGTATTCAAAACTTCTTTGTCCACACGTTCCGCAGTTCTTTCACACTTCTTTAATCTGACTTAGGGCTGCCAACATTTGTCAAGCAACCAGAGGACAAGAACGTAACAATATACACACCTTTCACCCTGTCCTGTGAAGCGGTGGGACCACCAGGCCCTGTTCATATCCGCTGGTTCCGTGATGGATCACCTTATACTGAGGTTTTCAGCTCTCCCAGCAACTTCTCTGTACCAGGTGAGTGTTGCCACCCAAAATAATCTTTATCTCTGTATCACAACCTCATACATAAAGACTTTGTTTCACAAGGATTTATCTATTAGCACTTCCTTCTCTTTGCCTGTTCCTCTTGGGGGGAACAAAGCTTCCTAAAACAAGTGTTGTTTCTTGTTTTTCTCCTTACTCAATGCAGAATGAACGTACATAAGACATATGACTCTGCATAATCAAGTCTGCAAGACACCTTAAGTGAGACAGAAAGAGGCTGAAGATGCACATTATGGGTTGTCACAGCAATACTTTGTTACCTTCTTTGCCTTTTTTTGTAAACTCTTGTTGAGCAAGAGTTCCCTTGATGTCTGCTCCATCTGTGCAAATTTATTGAAACTGCTTTTTGAACAAGCGACCACTACCTACTGAGCTATCCCTGCCTTTTGAGGCTAAGGGTGGAAGCATTTACCAGCAAAGATAAAGAAGTATTTGGCGCTCAGATGGCTACAAAGTATGGAGTTAGTCTGATTTAGGGTATCGTCACTCCGTTGGTAGATTCTATTCTGACTCATCTATGCTGCCTCAGCATCTGTACCTTGCTTACTGCAGTGAGATTTGTCACCATGTCCTGTGTCACTTGGGCTGTCTGCTGTACTGCTGAATGGTTATCAGCGTTCATTCATGCATGGTTAGCACGCATTTGTAACAATGCTCTGCTGACTGTATCGTGAATGCACTGGAGAAAGTGCTAAATGTGAAAAAACAACATTTGCTGTAAGCTTCAGTTAAGCAGTAGCTCAATAATGACAGAAACGTGCTTGTTGCCAGCAAACAGCTGGAGACAGCAGCTGGTTAAGCTAGTTTAGCATTAAGACTGTAAATTTTCCCAAAACACCACATTTTGCAGATTCTTATGACCATTGAAAGTGATCGGAAAAATAAGGGCAGCAAAGATTTGGTTGACAGTGTTTCAGTTTTGAACCTTAACCAACAGGCCACGAGACATGCTGCATTTTGGTTTCTCTATGAACAAACAAACAGTTTAGAGTTAGGTTCTTAATTTGTTGAACAAATTTTTAGTTTTTTCTCTGTACACCACTACACTGTCATTATGTCTTTATCAAACAATCAAACAATTGCAGACATCCAGTTTTAATTCTACTGCTTTTACAAAAAAATTGCATTAACTGGTTATAAAACCAGTTTTATACCCAGTTAATATATACCCAGTCCATTTACAGAGGTTCAAGGCTTGTGGGTCTGTTTTATTATTTAAATTTGTGTTTAATAAGAGCAATCATGCTCTATAGTGTTGAGGTCAGGTGACTGACCTGCACATTGAAGAATATCCCATTTCTTTTGCTTGAGAAACTCTTGGATTGCCTTTATTGTGCTTTGGGCCTTCACTCCATTTGTAGTGTGATGAGCTCTCTGATCAGTTTTGCAGCAATTGAAAGAATCTGAGCCGAGACCATAATCCTTTAAACTTCACAGTTAATCCCACTACTATCAGCAGTCACATCATCAGTAAACACTAGTGATCAGTCTACTCAGTGACTATAGAAAACATTGATGACCCAACAGCTCCCTAAAACTGAAGCCCAATTACCGGTTCCTGGTTATCTCCACCGTCCTGGATAGATATTATAGAATACTTTGGACCATCTAAGGAGATTCGAAAGAAAAGTATCTGGATTACTTTAAGTTTCCTTGAAGACGTTTCACTTCTCATCTGAGAAGCTTCTTCAGTTCTAAGAGCAACTAGTGGGGAGTCCCAGATTTTAAGCCCTTAAAGTGCTTGTAAATCAGCTGTTTCTTTCCTTCTTCATACTTTTACTTTATGTCTTTCTGGTATAAGTTAACCTTGGTTTCATCTGTACAAAACCTTTTGTAGAGCTGGTCATATTCTTTTAGATGTTTTCTAGCAAAGTGTCATTTGGCCTTCTTGTTTTTGAGTGTGACCAGTAGTTCGTTGCTCATTGTAAACCATCTGTATTTTAATTTTTGAAGTCGTCTGTTGGCCGTAGATCATGATATTGTTACGTCTACCTCCTTGATAGTGTTCTTGACTTGATTAGATGTAGTTTTGAAGCTGTTTTTCATCACCATGGAAATAATTCTGTGATCACGCACTTTAGTTCTCTGTGGTCTTTCAGGGCTTTCATTGGTCCTGAACTGGTCAGTTTATTGCTTCTTTTTAAGAATTGTGCTGTCTCTCTAATAGCTTCATTTTGTTTCATCAACCTAATGATGACCCCCCTCACCGGTATGGACATCTCTTTGGTCTTGTATTTAAAATTACCAGGAAAAGCTATAAACCCCCCCACAACAATACATCAAATCAACTCCAGATATTATGTTTGCTTCATTTGTCATGAAATGAAAGGCCTACCCTGACCATGAAAGTTCTTATCATTCAACTGATAGTAAACTTTTAGTCCCTGAAAATGGGAGACTGTGTATAAAACACCCAGTACGAAATGTTCCCTAAAGTTTTCATGTTCATATCACTTTATGTGTTAGATCAGGACAGAACTGAAAGACATTAGTTTAAGTTTTAAAACAGAAATAACCAGAGAATTCAGGCATTTTGTCTTAAAAATCATTATAATATTTGTTAGGAACAAAGTCTTGACTGACTAACTGATTATTTAGCTGTACATTAATGTTAACATCAATGTCAGCTTATTCTTTCTCATGTTTCTCAATTAAGCAACAATGACAATTAATTGTTGCTTAATTGTGGTAAATTATTGCTACTTGTATTTAAAGGAAGGTATTTGAATATCAAGACTTGTTGTAAAATGAGTTTTAGTCCCATGTTGTACAGAAATTGTATAACATTTTATAAGTAGACTCTCACTTTATCACCTCAAGTTTATGACCCCCTCTTTCTTCCCTAAAAGACAATATTTGTTATTAGAAGTACAACATTTGCTCTTTATGCCCTGATCCTTCATTTTGACTTTGCCACAGGCTAAACACCCCTGCAGTAGCCAATGCGTAGTGATACAGCCAAAGCTGAGGGGGTTAAAGGTTCAGAGTTGTGCTTTGGTCCAGCATGTGCAATCGCCCGGGCAGTAAAGGGAAGGAGGAGGGGGAGCTGCATAGGGAGCCTGTTCGGGGGTTGGCTCCGGGGACAAAGACCTCATTCACAGGACGGCTCACTACCCAGTAGGGAGGGGCTAGACACAGAGGGCTGCAGGCTACCAGGTCCCTGTGCAGGACCAAACATTGCTAAAGTAGAACCACGTAAACCCAGATCTCTGTGTAGTCATCTCATGCATACTATGAGTCTTGGTTTGCTAAATTTGGGACTCCAGGGTATCATCACAGTGCTTTTTGTTGCTTAATTGTGGTAAACTATTGCTACTTGTATTTAAAGAAATGATATTCCTAAACAGTAGTACAGGCTAACGAGGAATTAAGTTGAGATTGGAAAGCATTTTATGCTTCAATATTTAATCTGGCTCAGCAGCAAGAAGCTGCATAAGATTCAGTCTCTGGTGTTAAGGAAGAAGCAACAAGTTTATCACTTCAGCTTGAAAGAAACTGAGGGAGTAAATCTGGCACACAAAGCAATAATGAGTGAAATGCTTGGATTAGCTGCAGTCTGGCAGAGTGGCTTTTGGCTATATTTACTCCCTGAGAAGAAATTGGAAAAATAACATACATCTCATACAGCTCAGTAACCTGGAGCAACTCCAAACCGGATAGAGGTTGGGAGAACCACACTGCAGGACTTACATGATGTATTTTGGTTTCTCCATCCCACTCGCAACTTTACATTTCCTCTTGAATTTAATTTTCCTATTGTGTTGCTGATTTTCACTTTGATTTATTTCCAAGTAGAATAAAAGCAGAAACGATAATTCTCCACCTTTTTAATCAATTCCCCTTTCCAGCAAATACACACCTATTGTGTACATTTAGTTTGCACTGTTATTTATGAAATGCCCTTGCTGTGTAACCCAATACTTTTTTTCATATGTTTGGTTAACATGAAACCTCTGGGAAGTCTCCTGATTGCTCATATGGTTAGTATAGACAGCAAGCACGTGTTGTTTTGAACCTGCTTACTTCCTACTATGCTGCTACTGTCTGTATGCCATGCAGTTTGCAGTGCGCTATGTCAAAATTAGATTTGCGCATTTCACTCACGTGTAACTTGATTATTTAATTTAATCTAAGTACAGCTCTCTGTCTTTTTGCAAACAAATCTACTGTAGCCTGTGTTTAGGTGATAAGTGAAGCACACTTAACCCTGGTTCTCCTGAGCATAGAAAGGCAACCTCTCACATCAGTTCCAGTTATCTCTCACAAGCTGGACTGTGAATTGCTTTGTGGAAAAGTTTCTGAGATGGAAGCAGAGCACAAAAGGCTCATTATCGCTCAATGTCCCCGTCCTTTTCTAACTGGGCAGATCTGTTGCTGTTGAAAGACAGAAATTGTGTGCTGAGGAAAACAGACCCATCGAAAAGGATTGTTACTACAGTCCATCATACTGGAGAGGCTCAGTTTGATCTTTTATTGTAAGAGGCACTTCTTTGTGAAATTTGGAATTATGATAAAGGAGTGAATCATTCTTAAATGAGACTTTTTTTTTCCTATGATGTTTCAGCCGGGCCTCACTCTCACTTCTTGATTCAGAATGACATGCCAGTTTTGCCCCAGATTCATCTTTGACACATAAACAAATCAGTTTGAGAGTGGTGACGATGTGTGTTGCTGGTTTGTGCTCTGCCTTTGTGTTATAGAGTAATAACAGCAGGGCTGAGTCAGTGCTGTCATAACCTTGAAGACTGGTTGTTTTTGTTTCACGCTGCCCTGAAGTGCTACATGATTCACTCAAAAATCTCAACTGCAGGTGTGGATAAATACACTCGGTTCAGCTGTGAAGCTAACAACACAAAGGGCATCACCACATCCAGAGAAGCACACGTCAATGTTAAAGGTAAAACTGGCAGCTTCCAGGTCTAATAATATTCCAGATGATTTTTCTGCTTTAGAAGATGGTAGCTGATGCTGGTTTTTGTGGTATTTTCTAGTTCATCCCAGACCTCCCACTCATGTTACTGTGACAGAGAGGCAGTCCAATAAGCTGACGTTGAGCTGGACTCCTGGGCACGATGGCTTCTCTCCACTCACCACGTGCCGAATCAGAGTAAGCCCCATGTTTAATCCAAACTGTGCCATTGTTTAACAGCGTCATACTGATCACATGTTCTCCGACCTAAGGTTAGAGAGGTCAGTCGGAGGGAAGGGGAAGTGACGACCACCAGGTTCATCAACGTCACAGTGCCGCCTTTTCACAGTGAAGTCCCTGGACTGCAGGCTATGACGAAGTACAACCTGAGTGTTTCCTGCAGTAACGAACAGGGCGCCTCTCCAAACAGCAAGTGGGTCGAGAGCAACACCACAGAAGGAGGTGTGTTGATGCTACAGGAACGATTTGAAGGTTGAATTATAATGCACACCAAGAAAACTTTAACAATGCAAAGTATTCCTAAATGAAATTAAACTCATCCCAGCATTTAAAACCCAGCATATAAAAATGCTCAGTCTGTGTTTGTCTTACAAACGATGATGATATTTACAATACAGGACCTGTGTGTTGTGCTCCTGCCTCCTTCCCATCATTCTTGTTTAGCTTTCAGGAGCACTGTGTAATTAACTGACTACTTTACTATCCAAAATGTGCTTAATGTAAGCTTGCTCACAGTTGCAGTGCAATAATAACTGGAATTTTCTGCACTTGCACAACTACCTGATCTGCCCACAGCAAGCCCTGTTCAGAAAAAATGTTTTATCCACTAAAAACCTCTGTTGTTTTCCTGAAGAGTAACATAGGAAATAGGGGTGGTTTCACTGAGAAAACACAAAGTTCTTACTGGGTGGAGCTGCTTTCAACTTCCTTCCTAAATCCACCAGAGGGGATATTTTAGTTGAATGATTTGATATGCTGTGACCAGAAGTGACCGCATACCAAACCGTAATCAAAGATTTTTTTTGAAGAGTAGTCCAACTAATTTTTCTTTCACTTTATAGGTTTGCAATGACTGTGAATTATGTCATAATCCCATTTTCCATTTCTCGTTGCGTTCTTAGTGCCATCAATTCATCCCGGAAATGTCACAGTGCAGCTTGAAGGCTCGAGCTTGGTGATCGAGTGGAAACCTCCGCCCAGCGATAAGATAAACGGGATCCTAAGTGGTTATGATGTCATTGTTAGATATGGCACACGCCAGAAAAAGGTGAGCTTATCTGCGATAAAGTAATTAAATATAATCTTTTATTTTTTATTGTTTTACAACTGACAATTCTCGTTTCTTTTATTCTTCTTCTAACTGTTATTATTATTTTAAGAAAAAGAAAAGAAATGTACGCATTCAACTTTAAACTTGCTCTTTCAGAACACCTGTACCTAAAGTGGTAACTCAAGAAAAGTTTAAACCTTTAAACCCTGAATTTGTGGCTTTTTAAAAAATAAAAAAAATAAAAAATTGAATGAGAAGAATGATGTAGAAGCCTCAAAAACTCACAAAAATCACATGTTAAAAATGATATATTTAGCTTTAAAGGATTAAAGATGTGCTTACGCGAATGAAGGAAAGGCTGTTGTATTTTGTACATTCCTAAAAAATTAAGCTTTCTACCACTTTCTGTTTCCCAACCATTCACATTAAATACAACCAAAGGATTCTTCCGAAACGCATGCCATTCAGGCTTAAGGTTAACTGTAAACTGTATCAAAAACAGGTGAAAACTACGAGTGATGAAAATCTTACAAGGGATCCATCATGTGTTTCCTTATTTTATTTAATTTTTCCTTTTACAGCGCTTCAAAAATTATTAGACCACCACCCAGTGTAAGGTTTATGCCACAGCTACTCTAAATTAACAATATTGGTTAATTTAATAATATAGGTTTTTGAGATGTTTCTAAAATATTTACATTTTACTATTTTATGACAGGTGTTCTAAAGAATTTTTTAAGCACTCTATGGACTGTTACAGTTTCAGTGTTGAATATATTCATACTAGACAGTTTCAAATAGTTTCAAAGTGTGCATTTGAGTAGACTTCTCTGGTTCATGCTCAGTTTCTGATATGTTTTTCTACTCCTGGCTTTCAGCGAGTTCAGAGAGAGGGCATATCTTTAACAATTCCAGCATAAGAATTTTTATATAATAAACAACATAGAATAAAAATTCTAATAAGAAAGAAATAGACACACAAACACAAAATAAGTATCCAAGAGAAAGTCCAAGTAATAAATGTGCAAACAATGAAATGAGTTAAAGAGATCAAAGAGTTAAAGAGAAGAGATTGTATTTATGCTTGTGCAGTGTTTATTGTTTCATTCAGGAGTCTAATGATGTAGAAGCTGTTTGAGCCTTTTCTCCTTGTACAATACAAATATGAAATATTATGAAGAATTGCTTATGTAAGGTTCATATTGAAAACATAAGGTGTTATCTCTGATGCTCCTATTTAAGAGGGTGTTTTTTTTTTTATAACAATGACTAATGTATGAAAATATGAAAAGAATGAGTGCTGCATACTGGGAATAGCTGACCCTCCCTTTGTCTTCTCTACTGAACCACAGGTCAGTTATTTGCGAACAACAGTTTATTCATTTGCCACAAGGCATCATCAAGGCCGGGAAAGGGATTCGAAGGAAACTAGTTTCTTTAGATCAGCTTTAATAGCTCATAATGTTGTTTGCATGTAGTCACACTTCTCTTCCTGTATTAGTGCGCTCACCTACAATAGAGTGACTCCGTCCTTCCCGTCTGTGTTGTAGTTAAAGGAAGCTGAGGGTGTAAAAACTGGCCATTGGTAGTTTTCTCCATTTGGCATGTGCCCGTGAGTCATCACAAAGTAACTATGGTATGAAAACAATAGGACGTGAATGTGAGTTCCAGATATTCCTATGTATTGTTCATTCAGTTGATTATGTCATTACTGTAACTTTGACTGGAAATACATACAAACACAGTACAGCCAATCCGCTGTCAGGATAGACAAAGTCAGGGTAAATAGTTAAAATATGTCAATCAGTTTTAAATCAGAGGATAGATGCTCGTAATTGTGAATTTTTTGGCATTAGAAATCAATGGTGCCAATTATTTCTCTTGAATCTGAGATTAACATTTTCTGATTGTTTATTTCTGAAGGAATATTTAACCTCACGTTGCCCTTTTTTGTTGTCACAGACATGAGAGGTGTTAATCATGGGTTTAGAACTGCCTGTCAGCACAAAACAGTGCAGACTGAGATGTACCGTTTAGCGTATGGTGTTGTGAAATACAGGGTTAAGTCTGTCACATGCTCCCTCCCATTGAGCACATGAGCCTATCCTGAAAGTTTGTGTCCTTCCCTTTTTTTTAAATGGGGACTTTTATTATATACAGTAATCACTACTACACGGTTCCCTTTGGATTTCCCAAAAGGGGAGCAGCTCTGTGAAATCAGCATGCATGCGCTTTGGGATGGTTTTTTTTAATCAATTAATTTTTGCATTTAGTGGAAATGAGGAAAAAAAGGAGAGAAAATGAGAGCATGCATAAAAAGTTGCTGAGCTGGATTTTGTGCTGTTGCACAAATGCACAAGACGTTCCTCAGCGTATTCTTGCACCAACAAGCTTTTATTTTCCTTAAAATCTGCTTCTTCTTTTAGTTCAACTTAACCTAATGTAACTTTCAAACTCTTGTGAACTATAGCCTTCTGTTTGAACTTTTCTCTCCAAGGTGATAATGATTAACCTTACCATAGCATATTTTTCTTTTTGTTCAGTCAGCTATGACAGTAGACGCAATTCACTTTATGTCTTTTATTGTATGTTATTTCAGGTCCATAGTCTTACCACTTGGACACGTGTGGCTGTGGAGGAATTCAACAAAACCTACAGTGTGGAGGTGGCCGCATGCACGCAGGCAGGAAGAGGCATGGTCAGCCCACGAGTTGAATTGTTTGTGCCAGAGGACAGTAAGTGGCTCGTTCTGTTTATTTCCTCATCTTGAGCTGATAATTTGATAAATTGCACAGCATTGTTCAGCTGATGTCGTACTACTGTACTAAAATACCATTATTGCCTTATGAATAGATACCAGTGCCTATTATGGTTGCAGTATTTTTGGAAACACTAGCAGGAAAGCTCACAGGACTGAAATACTGCCTATTTTTCAGCTACTTTCATCTGAGATTAAAATCTTTTAAACTCTTGGATGAATCACCATGAAATACAGTACACACACTTTTGGTCCCTAGAGAGTTAAATAACTTTGGCTTCCTGGTCTTTCATGTGGAGCTGTTAATTTAGAGTTTCATCTCATCAAAATGTTGACCAAAATCCTCCAAAAGTACTGACTTTACTATCAGGTGCAGGTGTACTTTGGGATCAGTGCTAAATATAAATTGTGAACATGGCAAAAATCAAGACTCTGGTGTTTCAGTTTTAAGCATGCTAACGAGCTGCTAGCTTTCATCTCAATGCAACACTGACTGAATATATTAAAGTTTCAAAAAAGGGGGAAACATTTGAATAAGAACTTCTGTTGAAAACTATCATCACAGAATAAAAAATGTTGGATGTGTTGCGTGAGCTGACGAACTCTACTTCAGATAACTGATCCTTAACTTAAATTGCTGGCTGTCAGATTTCTAAGTGTTCTCCTTTGTTTCTTCTTCTTATCTCAGAATCCACCGTACGCCCTTCATCCGGCCCTGAGACAGCGGTAGCACACACCAACCATGTTGTGGGGATTGTGATTTGTACCGTCTTTGTCCTGCTGATCATCCTCTCTGGGGTTCTCTATTTTCGGAACAAGGCTTATGACTCCTGTTTTGGGTAGGCTTAACAATTAACAAGTAATTATCCTAGTATGATAACCTGATCTTTGAACTTGCTGCTGGTTAGTGTGTTCATGAGACAACTGTATTTACTTTGATTTTAATCAGCTAACAGTAAACTGCTGCTTTGCGATATATGTTTTCTTCAGTAGTAGTAACTTCCGGATTCACTTTGTAAACTTCCTTATCTTCCTCTTAGTCATTGGAGTCTGCACAGTAGGTCATGTAATAACTGTGCAGCTGGAGAGATGGACAACAAACAGCTGTCAATTCTCTGGAATTCTTCATTATGAAGTCCATGACTCACTGTTTCCACTCAGGATATGGATAGGAATGTTTCACAGGCAGCTTTTCAGAGAGAAAAACATTATTCCAACCTCAAAGTCTGGAAGGCAACAGAGAGGGTTTCCTCTCTATGACCTTGTCTTTAGTTGAATTTTTAAGCCTGTATGTTATTTCTGACCTCTTACAGCATCAGACAGAGGATTACCAACATTTCCTGCTTTTTCTTAACCCTGTCTCCCCCTGCAGGCAGCGGTGCAGAGATGAAGAAATGCTGCCGCCTGTCATACAGTACACGCAACAGAGGTCCTACAACCGATCAGCCATAGGAGTCACTCGTATGTTCTTGAATGCTACTACAGGAAGATTAACACGCATATAACATGTACGTATTATCAAAAAAATGATGTTCTTGTCTTTGGTCTGCAGTTGAGAACCTTGGGATCAGTGAGGAACTGCAGGCCAAACTTCAGGATGTGATGGTAATGAGAACTCTGCTCTCAGTGGGGAAGGTTCTTGGAGAGGGTGAGTAATTAGTTTCATGTATCTAAATTTGTAGGCATCCATAACTACAGTGACATGTTCAAACGATTACAGTAAAATGCAGTATATGTGCGCAGGTTTACGACTGGTCTTAACTTTTACCAGGTGAGTTTGGTTCAGTGGTGGAAGGTCATTTCACACAACCAGATGGCACTTCAGAAAAGGTTGCCGTGAAGACAATGAAATGTAAGTGCTTGTGTTATGTAAAGATTAACTTAACTTTAAAAAATATGTCTTAACTAACAAATATGTAAAAAAAATTATACCACACAGTGGATAGTTTTTCTCAAAGGGAGATTGAAGAGTTCCTGAATGAGGCCGCTTGCATGAAAGATTTCAACCATCCTAATGTCATCAAACTGCTCGGTAGGAGATCTCCTCTTATCTTACTGCACGTTCTCTTTGCTTCTTTCTTTAGTCGCTTTCTTTTGTATATCCATGCATTTATTTTTGATTGTGCTGACTTATCCTCTTGTCTTTAGGTGTATGCTTGGAAGTAGGCTCAGCACACTTTCCTAAACCCATGGTAATTCTGCCGTTTATGAAACACGGAGATCTGCATAGCTTCCTGCTGCGTTCACGCCATAGAGAGACTCCAATGGTAAGCTTTTACCCAAACACTAACTTTCAAATTCAATATCATATTTATTAGAGTGTGACAGAGTGGTGTAGTGGTTGACACTGTCGTAAGAAAGATAGATGTTAAATGTCATGGTCGGCTGGACTTCTCTCTGTGGATTTTGCATGTTTTCCTGGTGCCTGTCTGCGTTTATGTAAGAGTGTGTGAATGTCAGTCTTTTTGTGTTAGACCTGTGATGGACTGTTACCTGGACAAATACACCCCATGTGAGCTTGAATACACTCCAGATCCCGACCCTGAAACGAATAGATTATGATTAGACTAAACAATATTTAAACTGTCTGCTGTATTGTGTGTTCTTGCACAGTTCTTGCCCACTCAGACACTCCTGAAGTTCATGGTTGACATTGCTTCGGGTATGGAGTATCTCAGTGGTCGTAACTTTCTGCATCGAGACCTGGCGGCACGCAACTGCATGTAGGTTCCTTCCTCTGATTTATGTTCAAAGTAGAGCAGGCATTGATTGAACTTTTCCTGGCAACATTCGCAGCCTTCTTAAATAAAAGAACTATGATTTATTATTTCAGAGGTTTATCAAATTTGCTTTTTTTTCCATTAGTCATGAAGTCCACGCCTTGTTTGTCTTACAGGCTGCGTGATGACATGACAGTGTGTGTAGCAGACTTTGGACTATCTAAGAAGATCTACAGTGGTGATTATTACAGGCAGGGAAGAATTGCAAAAATGCCTGTAAAATGGATCGCATTAGAGAGTCTGGCAGACAGAGTTTTTACTGTAAAGAGTGATGTGGTGAGTAGAAACATAGCTTTACCAGTAACACACCTGTTTATGAAATCCAGTCACTAAAAGAACTGACTACTTTTCTGCACTCTTTGTTTTTCTTGCTGCTTTCTCTTGTGCTACAAGTGGCATTTTAAAAGGTTTGGTCTTAGACTTACACAGGGCACTGTCTCTGTCTCAATATTTATCAGTGTGTTCAACTTGTACGATTTTCCCCCTCTTTTGCACTTTTATCTTAAGTGTCAGATAAAGATTTAAAAAAAATAAACTTTTTTGTTTGAAAAATGCAGAATATCGTACAGCTAAACCTGGGATAATACATGGTATTTCTATGTATTATCAGCAGGAAAATACCAGTTTGTGATGAAATATAATCTCAAGTTGAAATTCTGTTCTCACGCAGTGGGCGTTTGGTGTCACCATGTGGGAAATTGCTACAAGAGGCATGACGCCATACCCTGGAATCCAAAACCATGAAATTTATGATTATCTAGTTGAAGGACACAGACTGAAGCAGCCCCCAGACTGTTTGGATGAACTGTGAGTGTCGTTCTTCACACAGATGTTGACTTTGGGTTTGATTGCTTTGAAAGTAACAATATTGACGCTATAAAAGTTTCATTTAATATTGTTGGTCTAAATCTTATATTGGAGGCTAGCTTTTTTTAAAAACATATTAACACAACAGTAAACCTCAAAAATAAATTGCTAAATTTTACAACCTTGAAAATATGCGCATTGAAATGTACCAAAATCGAGGTTCCAGTCTAATTATTTCTCAATACTTGGGGTCTAGGTATGAAATCATGTACAGCTGCTGGAGAGCCGATCCGCTAGACCGACCCTTCTTTCCCCAGCTGCGAGAAATGTTGGAAAAGCTCGCCGAAAAGCTTCCAGAGTCTTCCAGCAGGGATGATATCATTTATATCAACACCAGCTTTCCTGAGGAGGACCCAGATCGAGAGGCATTTCAAGCAGAGCCTCCTGTGTTGAGCTCCTCACCTTGCTGCAGCCGCATGGCAGCAGAAAATACAGTAGTTACCGCGGACATTCACGGGAGCGTGGCGGATGACCAGGATGATGGCAGCGATCGCTATGTGGTGGTGATTTCCTCCAGTGCGCCCCCGAGAGCTGCAACAGTGGATACGCCTCTCTTGTCAGATGATTCTTTAAGTCAAGCAAATGGGACCAGTGCAACAGCGATGGATCACAGCTTATATGACCCCGCCTTCATGCTATAGCATTTGGTACTGAGCAGTTACAGCCCTCGCATGGGTTAACAGTACTAATAATTTTGTCTTGTTGTACTGGAAGCACCTGCACATTTCCTGCTATGGACTTTCATAGATTGTTGGAGAGGCATTTCATGCTTTAAATGGCCAGCCTACATGTCAGTGTTTGTTGTTGCTTATACTTTTTTTTTTTTTGCGTGTCAACCTCAAACACACTCATGCACATGTTCGATAAGCTTATGATACTCTGAAATGTGAAAAGTATTTACTGTATTGACTTCTGTGTTGCAGTGTAAATAGAAAATTGTACAGAACATTTATAAAAGGATCTTTTTCTTTTAAAATAAAGGATTTATTGACTTCTTTAAAGTAAATATAGATAAGTGTGACATAAAATGAGCAGAATTCCCTCACAGATCCCTGTGATAATTATTGTTATTGGTATTCCAGTAAGAAGGGAACTGTATTACCATAATGATGACATAAAAGTCACGGTGCAGCATGGCACACCATGGAAGGAGTGGGGAAGGAGGACCCAGGCGCGGTGCTCTAGGTATAGACAGTGTTTATTTACAGAGGGTGATATCAAACAACAATAAATCCCCGTGTTTCTCCCCAGACTCCCGTGTCGTGTCCTCCAAGTGCTCTCTGCTCCCGTGTCTGCACTCCCGGTGCTCGCTGCTCCTTAAGCCTTCCACGCTCCTCCTGCGGGAAACAATAGCGGCAGCAGTCAGGACACTGAACAATGGCAGGCATACACTACACGACCAAAACCTAAACTGGGTAACTAACGTGGAGTCCCAAGCAATGATCCCACGTCGGTGGGCGCTCCAAGACTCTCTTAAGTAGCTCCCCCGACGAGGCCTGATCAGCAGCAGGTGTGTGGCTTCGGGTGTGGCCAGTCCCCTTGCAGGGCCACACCCTCCAGGCCTGACGCCGCCTATAAACAAGTGCTCAGCCACCCACACACACATATACACAAGCACAGGGAAGGGGGAGCAACACCAAAATACACAACAATAATAATAATAATAATATAATACATGACTGCTCAGGGATCCTGGGTCGCCCAGTCCCAGGACCCTGACAATAAAAGCCTTCAACTTTCAGCTCTGAAGCCCTTCTTGATTGCAGGATGACAGATTAGGTCAGGCCTAGAGTATAACTATAACAGACCACATTGTGATCTGTAGTGAGAGTAGAGAGAGGTGGAGGTATGCACTGTAAAGAAGAAGAATGTAGGTCAGTAACAGCAAGACAGAATATGCATGTGAATAGAAGGGGAGCGGGTGGAATGCGAGGAGTCGTTTAAATTCCTGGGGTCAAATGCCGGTAGGGTGGAGTGGGCAGAGATGAGTATCAGGGTTGATTGGTGAGATAAGGAAAGCAACAACAGTGAAAGTGAAGGTTTACAAGACGGTAGTGAGACCTGCTAAGATGTATGGTTTGGAAATGGTGGCACTAATGAAAGACAGGAGGCAGGAGCTGCAGATGTTAAGATTTTTCTTGGGAGTGACCAGAATGGACAGGATTAGAAATGTGCACAGCAGAGGGACAGCTCAGGTTTGGAGACAATGTAAAAGTGGTAACCTTTAGATACTTTGGACATGTGCAGAGGAGGAATAGTGGATATACTGGCAAAGGACAATTCAATTAAATTCAATTTTATTTATATAGCGCCAAATCACAACAAAAGTCGCCTCAAGGCGCTTCATAGATACAGAGAAAAACCCAACAATCATATGACCCCCTATGAGCAAGCACTTTGGCGACAGTGGGAAGGAAAAACTCCCTTTTAACAGGAAGAAACCTCCATCAGAACCAGGCTCAGGGAGGGGCGGCCATCTGCTGCAACCGGTTGGGGTGAGAGAAGGAAGACAGGATAAAAGACATGCTGTGGAAGAGAGACAGAGGTTAATAACAGATATGATTCAATGCAGAGAGGTCTATTGACACATTGTGAGTGAGAAAGGTGACTGGAAAGGAAAAACTCAATGCATCATGGGAATCCCTGGCAGCCTACGTCTATTGCAGCATAACTAAGGGAGGATTCAGGGTCACCTGGTCCAGCCCTAACTATATGCTTTAGCAAAAAGGAAAGTTTTAAGCCTAATCTTGAAAGTAGAGATAGTGTCTGTCTCCTGAATCCAAACTGGAAGCTGGTTCCACAGAAGAGGGGCCTGAAAACTGAAGGCTCTGCCTCCCATTCTACTTTTAAATACTCGAGGAACAACAAGTAGGCCTGCAGAGCGAGAGCGAAGTGCTCTAATAGGGTGATATGGTACTACAAGGTCATTAAGATAAGATGGGGCCTGATTATTTAAGACCTTGTATGTGAGGAGCAGGATTTTGAATTCAATTCTGGACTTAACAGGAAGCCAATGAAGGGAAGCCAAAACAGGAGAAATATGCTCTCTCTTTCTAGTCCCTGTCAGTACTCTTGCTGCAGCATTTTGGATTAGCTGAAGGCTTTTCAGTGAGTTTTTTGGACATCCTGATAATAATGAATTACAGTAGTCCAGCCTGGAAGTAATAAATGCATGAACTAGTTTTTCAGCGTCACTCTGAGACAGGATATTTCTAATTTTAGAGATGTTGCGCAAATGGAAGCAAGCAGTCTTACATATTTGTTTAATATGTGCGTTGAAGGACATGTTCTGGTCAAAAATGACTCCAAGGTTCTTCACAGTGTTACTGGAGGCCAAGGTAATGCCATCCAGAGTAAGAATCTGGTTAGATACCATATTTCTAAGATTTTCAGGGCCGAGTACAATAACCTCAGTTTTATCCGAATTAAGAAGCAGAAAGTTAGCGGCCATCCAGGTCTTTATGTCTTTAAGACATTCCTGCAGTTTAACTAATTGGTACACCAATTAGTATGTTATCTGGCTTCATGGACAGATAGAGCTGGGTGTCATCTCCATAGCAGTGAAAATTTATGCTATGTCTTCTAATGATGCTGCCTAGGGGAAGCATGTATAGTGTAAACAGAATTGGTCCTAGCACTGAACCCTGTGGAACTCCATAATTGACCTTAGTGTGTGAAAAGGACTCTCCATTTACATGAACAAATTGGAGTCTATTAGATAGATATGATACAAACCACTGCAGTGCAGTACCTGTAATACCTACAGCATGTTCTAATAGGATATTATGGCCAACAGTATCGAACGCTGCACTAAGGTCTAGCAGGACAAGCACAGAGATGAGTCCACTGTCAGAGGCCATAAGAAGATCATTTGTAACCTTCACTAAAGCTGTTTCTGTGCTGTGCTGAGCTCTGAAACCTGACTGAAACTCTTCAAATAAGCCATTCCTCTGCAGATGATCTGTTAGCTGTTTGACAACTACTCTTTCAAGGATTTTTGATATGAAAGGAAGGTTGGAGATTGGCACATAATTAGCTAATCTCTAGACTGCTGGGTCTAGAGATGGCTTTTTGAGTAAAGGTTTAACTACAGCCAGCTTGAAGGCCTGTGGTACATAGCCGATTATTAGAGATAGGTTGATCATATTTAAGATCGAAGCATTAATTAACGGCAGGACTTCTTTGAGCAGTTTTGTAGGAATGGGGTCTAAAAGACACGTTGATGGTTTGGAGGAAGTAATTATTGAAGTTAACTCAGAAAGATCAACTGGAGAAAAAGAGTCTAACTTAACATCAATGGTACTAAAAGTAGCTGTAGATAATATTACATCTGTGGGATGATTATTGGTAATTTTTTCTCTAATGATAAAAATTTTATTTGTGAAGAAGTTCATGAAGTCAGGGATGGTTGGCTCAAAAGAGCTCTGACTTTTTGTCAGCCTGGCTACAGAGTGCTGAAGAGAAACCTGGGGTTGTTCTTATTTTCTTCAATCAGTGACGAATAGTAAGATGTTCTGGCTTTGCGGAGGGCTTTCTTATAAAGCAACAAACTATTTATCCAGGCTAAATGATGATCCTCTAAATTTGTGACAGAGGTTTGTATTTGTGTGACAGAAGAAGATGCAAGGAATAGGTTGAGATGGAAGCAGATGATCGTCTAAAGGGAGCCAGAAGACATCGAATAAGATTTGGACAACAACGAGAACATTTGAAGTATAAAAACGCAAGAAAAAGATTTGTGTACTCGAATTTTTATACGTTAGCTGAACAGAAGAAAACCTGGTGCTGCATCACTGTGGTCAAAGCAGCCGCCCCTAAACCAGGGGCATGAAAAGGGAAAAAAACAAACAAACAATGCTTGGACACTGCTAGCAGGGGCGCCTACACAAACGCAAAGCAGGAGATGAAGCATAGCTGAATATGTTTCCAAACCAACATCATTCTAAGCCAAAGACTAGAAAATATGGCGAAGCATATCTTCCCTTTGGCTTCACCTGCACAAGTGCCAAGGTAGGTCTCCCCTGCAGAATTGGTTTTCCCTTGGCCTGGAGCACCGCTGGGCTGTTTAAATCACAGACAAACAGTATCCCACATTCTTGATTTTTAGTTCACAAACAGTTGTTGTAATGACTAACTACTCCTGATGTTAGCTCTTTATACAGTAAAGTTACAGTGGGATACAAATAACATCAGGCTGATCCTGCCACGATTTGTTCCCCCTGTCTAAATCATGGACAAACAGTATCCTACAGCTGTTTATGTTTTTAAACCCATTTTGCACAGAGAGGCATTTTTTTTTTACAAATGTATTGATAGCAATGTTGAATATTATTACACAGGAAAAAAACAACTACATGTTAAATAATTACACCTTGATACCTCTGCCTTTCTAAATGGAGGGACAGTAACTGCATGTTTATATGCAAGCATGTAAAACCTGAAGATAGAGACAAAATACTGTTAATCTGACTATCTGCCATTCTGCAATTCCACTCATGTAAGCAATAACGTGGTGCACAGCTGACGTGAAAAAAGGCAAGTAGCTTTAACATTGCACGAAGAACTCTGTATTCCTTGTCCACAGTAAATGCAAAAAAATAGTTTTAAAAAATCTCCGTTTTCGGTGATTCGAAACGCCGTTTACGCGTGGACGAAACAGCTGTGTTTTCAAAAAATACCCGTGTAGGTGTGGACGTAGCGTAAAAGAGTTAGTTTATTTTATTACTACCTGCAGATTACTTGTATTTGCTTAATTGTTTACTAAATGTTTGAGGTGTGAAATAAACCGCAATTGAGCAAAATATGGGTGTGTGTGGTTGGAGGATGTGTTAGTGCGTGCGTGTGGGCGCGTGCGCGAACATTTTTCTGTAAAACAAAGGGGGGCCCAGCGAAAAAGGTTTGGGAACCACTGATTTATGCAATCTGTATGAGTCCTGCTGTACAATGAAGATGATATCCTGAGTACAAATATATACTGAATACAAAAGGCTGTCTCCGTCTACCATGGAAAGGTGATTCCTGTATCACGGACCTGTGACAATATCATTCGAAAACATCACATTATTCTGTGAACAAACAAGACCAACGCACATATGATGTGCACAGCGCTCAAATTATCAAGAAAAAAAATTAAATATCAAAAACATTTATTCTGGGTGCCAGCAGGATAGCGGTAATGAAGCTGGGACAGCAGGCGACGTACAGGTAACAAACGTCGCAGACCTCTTGGGCCCCTCCCATCCTCTGAGCAGCTGAGTTCACGGCGCAAGTGGAGAAATCTACACGTAACGAAGATGGCTGCTGCAGTCGGGATGAGGACGTCGAGCTGTCCAACTAGAGGACTTAACTGTCCGTGGATGGTGTTTTCTGTAATTATACTCAACATTATCAATGGAGCTGTTGCAGCGCCAGAGTCAGGGCTTTGGACAATAACTGTTGTTAATGTGAGTATCTTCCTAAAAACGCTGAATACTCTGGATAACTGCAGCACCCTTAGCTAGCGTTAGCTACATTATCCTTGTTATGGTAACTCGCTGACAGCTGTGAATGTGGTGAGAGGCTTGTAACTCACACTAACGGTATCTCTTTAGCCTTTCTTAGCCAGTCTTTATAAACCGTGATAAACGAAAGAGCAGAGAAATGTTTTGCATAATTAGCCGTTAGCCATGCCAAGAACTGTTAATAATAATTAGGTACTTCAAGGGTAGTAGTCAACTAGCTGACTGGTTATAGTTTAACAGACTAAAGTGAAAATCCCAAAAGCTTATTTTCTTTTTGTCTGCCACTGTCTCTGGACTAAAACCTGCGAGTTTAGGTTGTGTGTGTTCAGGTTATGTCACACATTGTAACATATAAAAACATTCTTAAAGTCGATCTTCAGTCAGGTGCTTGTACAGTTCACTCCCTCTTTTTGTTTATTAATGATAAGGCACAGCTCCTACAGTTAGCCCACAGAGACGTGTATAGCTCAATAATCAATAATTTACATGCTAAGACGTTTCAGTTTCCACTCTGTTATCCTCTTTCCAGTAGCAGTAAAACCTGCATTTGCAGGTTCATTCTGAATAGGTGACAGGTCAGACAGCTAGAAAAACACACTTATGGTTAATATTTCTTATATTAATAATATTTTTTATATTATAATATAAGGTTCTTTTTCCACTTTGCAAAGACACAGAGTCCAGCTTGTTTGGATCCGAGAGATCAAAAGAGTACCAATGATCAGTTAGTTTGCCTAACTAAATTGATCAGTATGAAAAATAATAATAAATAAATGTATTACTCCGTAGACCTCAAGAGCATTGCTGTTAAGGAAATCAATGTATAAAGACACTGATGTTGAACTAAAAGGTAAGTCATGACTTAAAAAAAAAATTACTCATAACCTGTTACCCAAAGTGCTTCCTTTTTTTTGTGTTACGTCATCACGTCTTCATGTTTCAGTCTGGCCATTTGACTGTCCTGAGGAGGTGGACGTCACTATTCACTGGCTTTTGAAATACTACCCCTGTCACAACGAATACAACAATATTGAAGTAAGCAAAAAATGCTTCCTGTCATACCATCTGCGTTGAGTTGATAGTTTCTTTTTTTAACTTTATTTTAATTATCCTTTTTTAAAAACGTATTTGTATACATGCGGAATAAAAGGGGACTCCTTCAAATTTTCAAGACATGCAGCACTAAATATTTACTTAAAAAATTCCATGTGGTACAGAAAACAAAGTACACTAAACAAAACCCCCCAAAAATGGGGGTATGGGCTGTCATAGTCAAAACATCAACGGAAAATAAAATGGGTCAACACTGCAGTGCAATGTGTGTTTTCAATTTTTCCCAGAATGCACTACATTTTACTTTTTCATAGTCTTTAATCTGTATAAACATGTTTCTCTGTTGATATTAGTTGTATTTTAATTGTTGTATAGCGCTCTGTGTAAAGCACTGTATGAATTAACTATAGTTTCTTAAACTGTCGGCCAATTCTGTACACTCCAGATCTTGACTTATAGCCATCCATGGCCCCATAATGAGAGATTCTTTGCAAAGCCAATGCATTGTTATAGTCTAATTTGCCCCCATACGCTTTTTTTTTTTTAGTAAATATTTATAACATTTGGGTAATTTTAAATCCGTTTTTCCCTAGGTAGAAAGTCAGGCATATAGATTCAATATTGTGGCACAGAATCTCCCCCAGTGTACTGTGAACAGTGTCCCAGAACAGTTTAAGGATGGGACAGCTTCAGGATGCATGAAAGTGATTAAATCCCCACCATTATTTGAGTGGTGCACTGGTCTGTCTCGTGCCTTGCTTGTTTCTGATTGGTGAATTGTGACCGTCTTTGTCTGTAGGAGATGTATAAGAGGCCAGGCCTGATTCCTGAGAAGAATCTGGATCCAAACCCAAAGGTACCAGGGGAGCACATCGAACACAAACACGGTCCCATTGTATGTAGCAATGGACTGCCCTTCCCGATGCTCAAAGTGGGTTTGCTATGTTGGTGTCACCACAGCCGTATTCTTAACGATGTTGTTGTTTTTAGTTCTTCAACATCCTGCAACTGTGTTTCTTTTCAGAAAGCAAAGGCAGATCCACGTGTGTCCTCTGCGTTTGAAGTAAGAACCCGCAAATGATCTTTGATTTTAAGGTTAATTATTACATATGTTTTCATAAGTAATAAATGCTGGATTCCTTTAATCCTGCAGGATAAAAATGACATAAAATGGATTGCCGAGGAGTATGACACCAGCAGTGCTACGAAGAACAGCAGTGTGAAAATCAGAGACCACGTCATAGCCACCACTTGGAAGGATGGCCCTTACCTGCTAGTCGTTAAGATCGAGTCTAGTAAACCAGAAGCCAACTGGAGTTTAACAGGTGAGACTTTTTAAAACTACTAAATATGAGCATCTTGTAATTGTGGGCAGCTTGGGTAGGGTGGGTCATCTACCTGTCAGAGGGTCGGTGGACCAATTCTCTGGCTGCTCAAGCCTACATGTCATAGTATCTTTGGGCAAGACAGTGAAGGCCGAGTTGCCCCCGATACATCCATTGGAGTGTGTGTGAATTTTAGAAAGTGCTTAGGTACAGAATATAGTGCTTGCATGAATGTGTGTGAGACTGTGTGAATGCAGCTTATAGTAAAAAGCATTTACATTTTTTTTTTACCTTTGCTTTTTTAAACTGCATTAATTCAGTCGCCCTCCTATCTCATACACGCAGAGCTTTTTAGCTGACACTGAAGTGTCAGATTTCAGGATCTGCAGCAACCACAAACAAATTCTTAAAGTGGCAGTTGATGTAATCCCAGGTGAATGCCGGATTTTGATCTCATATCCTGGAGCCTTTTCTACTGAGAGGTTCATATGTGTTTTAGTTTTACTTTCTATCGCGCTCCGTCTTTTTTTCCTTTTTCCTGCAGCAGGGCTCTTTGTTTTGTTTGCTAGAGTTTCTACAATCTCTCTTCTTGTTTTTCTTTGTGTCATTTGTGCTACCTGGAGAAAACTGCCGATAGCCACAGAGTGAGACGAAGGCGCTTGTCCTGTTTTGGCTGGACTGACGTAATTTTCCTGGGAAATTTTATTCCCATTGGTAGACATAAGTGCACAGGGAAAGTGAAGCTTTAAAGCAACCAGGCTGAAGACTGAGCCGCTACATTGTGCAATCAGAATTTAGATCATAATGAAAACTTGCCTTTTGTCTGTTTAATATGCTTGGGAAAAGTGTCTTGCATCATTAGTCTAATGTCTGGATTTTGGTTTTGCAGTTAATGTGGTAATGAAGGGCAGCCACGGCTACATTTCTGTCACAGAATGGCCTCTCATGATTGTAAGTAGATGACTTTAGAAATAAGTGATTGCAATTTATGTGATTTATTGGCCACTTGCTGACTTTACTCCCTTTAATAATATGTTCCCTTAATTATTTGCTGTCTCCAGTGGAATGATAAGACTCTTTTGTGTTTGTGTGTGTTTTAAATTAACTCATTATATACTCAGTTATTAGATGTAGTCTTATATTAAGATGACAGTTTAGGTAAACTGCAAGAAAACATGCAGAAACTCCTACAACCATTTCATTAAATGTGATTTTAAATCATTTGTTTTTTAAGATTTACAATCCTGAAGTGACCTAAAACTGACAGGCTTTAAAGGCTAATCCCTGAGTGTCTGTTTGCAGTTCTACATGGTGATGTGCGTCGTGTACATCCTGTACGCCCTGTTATGGTTTCTCTGGGCGGCCTGCTATTGGAAAGATCTCCTAAGGATCCAGTTTTGGATAGCAGGGGTCATATTCCTCGGCATGGTGGAGAAGGCCGTCTTCTGCGCCGAATACGAAAACACCAATACTGTCGGCTCCGCCTGTGAGTGTTTATAGACGGTCACAAGAGTTCTCTTCTTCTCTCATGTCAGACAGTAAGTTGTATTTTTTTTCAACATATTTACTTTACTTTAGCTCCAGGTTTGCTGATCTTTGCTGAGTTGGTCTCTGCCTTCAAGAGGACTTTGGCTCGTTTACTCGTCATTATCGTCAGCCTTGGCTATGGCATCGTGAAGTATGTTAAAATCTATACACACAGCAACTTGTAGAATAATTGAAACCCCTCCTTAAGTTAAATAAAATGGGGAAAAAAAACACCATTTTTGGGGGGGTTGTTTTTCTTTTAGACCTCGATTGGGGACAGTGATGCACAGAGTAGTTGGGCTTGGCATCCTCTACTTGGCCTTTGCTAGCATTGAGGGTGTCCTGAGGATTACAGGGGTGAGTTGTGATCTTTGATTACTTTGATTTAAGTCAGAATAGCCTTTGCAAACGCCAATAATAACATTTAGCAATTAGAAATTTAAAAGGTTTAAAGTCCTACATTTAAATTGTTTATTTTACCAAAGATATGAGCTGAGCTCGTACAGTTAACATTGTAATTTGCTCTCATGCTGTATTTTTTAATGAAGTAAACTTGTCGTCACAATTTCTGTATTTTCTTGTTGCGCACCAAATATCAAGGGTCGAGACAATGGCCGCGCTCTCATCACAGCAATTGTTCTGGCTATGTTTGACTCCTGCGCCATCTGGTTCATATCCTTCCAGTGTATTCCTCACCAGCACAAATATCAATAGCAACTGGAGTGTCCCAACATAAGAAAATGGGCACGTTTGTTGGTGTATTTGAGTGATTTTGAATGTTCTTGGCTTGTTGGTTGGATTATTTATTTTCCCCTTTGCACTTGGGTGGATGGTTTTATGTTTCAGTTGCAGTGCTGCTTTCCTATCTGTAATTCCCCCCCCCCCCCCTTTCACATCTTTCTCCTCTTCCTTGTGTCCTCTGCTCCCGCTCTGTTATCCCTTCTAGGCAAAAGACTCTGACTTGGCTCTGCTGGCCAACATTCCCCTGGCTCTGCTTGACTCTTCTTTATGCTGGTGGATATCCTTTTGTGCACCTACAGCCTTTCCTCGTGCGGTTCTCCTCTGCTCCTCACTTCCTACACATGAACCAATATTAGATCAGGAAATTGTGGTCTCCCTCTGTCCTGTTCCTTCACCAGATCATTAGCAGCTGAAATACAGCTTCACACAAAGACGTCTTGGGTCTCAGTTGAAACAGCCCTGCTTTAATCATTCATTCTGTGGTGAAATTTGTAGCAATGCATTGTTTTCTGGTTGATGATTTAACTTCTTCTAAATCTTTACTGCTGCTTTCCTTGCATAATTAATGACAGTTTGTATTATTTACATTTTTCAACAGTCTCAGTCTACATTGGTAGAAATGATTGATTTTTGCATGCCCGTCCACCAGACTTTCCAGATTGTGCTGTTAAAAGGTTTTTATCAGCATGGGTGCAACTAGTGTGGGGGATAAAATCTGGATAAAATCATTTGTCATAACTCCTTGAGTGCTTTTTGTAAACACAAGAGTAGCCCACAAACCAGTCGTGGAGTGTCCTTTGTGCACTGCCTTTGTTGACAAGAGACACTCGCTGCAATTAGACAGGCTGACCACGGACTACCAGCAGACTGTCAACATGTTACCACTGCTGGACCATAATTTAAGCTTTAGTGAGAACAAAGCAGTCAGAGAAAGAAGTTAGTTTAGGATTGCCTCTATCATAAGACACGGCATCGGTGCTACATTGCACACTTGATCTTTTCCAGGGCGGCTCACAGATCCTAAAAAACATCCATGACATAACCTGTGGCATGTTTTCTCTCCTTTGGTGGTTATCGGATATGTTACATGGTCAGCAGTAGCATGCATATATGTCTTGCAGTATTTAAACAGGTGATATAGATCAGCTATTTGTAATGATTTTGAATTAAAGTGCATTAAAGTTTTGTGGTGTTTTGTTGGGGCTGAACAAGTTTTAGAGTCCCACCCTGTCACCCTGAACATTGTTATTGAGTGGAACATATATACCCACTGCTCAAACATTGCAGCCAAGAAATACAAATTTCTCAATGAACAGGAGTTATGCGTTAGAGGGAATATTTTGATATGGGTCTATAAAGGTTTTTGGAAAATTAATGGTATAGTATGGCTTTACATTTTTGTTTTTATGTGAAACAACTGATAAACTGTAAATGGGGAAAGAGAAAAACCCCACCAAAAATGCAGATCTGTCAAAACATTAGACACCTTCATAAATAAATAAACAACTTGACTCTTTAACTCTTTGTAAATTGGCTGCTAAAATCCAGGCACATTAAAACCGTTAACATCCTCTTCCACATCTTTGTGCTTAAAGATCTTTGCAAAATGCATTTTACAACAATGACGATTAATAGGCTTTTTTAAGCAGAGGCAAAATCTCACACTTTATCACAACCTTTCCTGTGCTTACGTCATATTAGCATCCAGGTGTACTCCACTGGCGGAACTGCATGTGATTGCAGCATGTAATCACTATTATCTAATGCGTGGTGTATTTGTACAGTTTCTGTGTAATGGCTGCCATGTGTTTACCTTGACTGCCACTAACATTTTTGTCAGCTTGGCACAAACCATCAAGACTCTGAAACTGAGGAGAAACCCTGTCAAGCTGTCACTCTACAGGCACTTTACAAACACATTAATATTTGCTGTCATTGGTAAGTCCTGCAGCTACATTTTCACTGCACCAGTTATTTGTATTTTCATCGACATGCCAAAGAGTTTCACACCTTGCCCTCTACACCCTCAGCTTCCATCATTTTCATGGGTTGGACGGCAAAAAAATTGCGATTAGTAGAATGCCAGTCTGTGAGTGTGGTTTGGATTACTGAGCAATAATAGCATTTTTTTTTTTTTTTTTTTTTTAATGACTGTTTAATGTTGACATTTTATTGAAAACTGAGCCTGTTTTTGTCTAAAGGATTGGATTGAGTTGTGGGTAGAAGATGCTTTCTGGAGGTTCCTGTTCTCTGTCATTCTGCTCGTCATAATGTTCTTATGGAGACCGTCTGCAAACAACCAAAGGCAAGTAATTTATTAAGACTCTTCAATTCATCAACATAAACTAAACTGGGCATGCATTTAAAACTTTTAATTTCAATATCCACAGGTACGCTTTCACACCTCTCATAGATGACTCTGATGATGAGGAGATTGAGGAGTTTATCGCATCTACAAACCTTGGTAAAGTTAGATCATGAGGGCATTACTTGTAACCAGAAAACTGCACATCTCAGTCTATGTTTACTTTTTAAAAATGTTTTCTCCTTAGTATTTTTTTTTCTTTTCTTATTGGCAGCTGATGGTATAAAGTTGAGAGCGACTAAAAATGAGACAAATGGTACAGTGAAGCCTGCAGAAACAAACCCAGTAAGTAACACAGACAAGTTTTTGGTAATTGGTTAAATAATTATGTTTCATTCAACTTTTAATAAGAATACCTACCTCTGAGGAAATGCAGCTGACCAAATGTCACATTTGCAGAGGGCCTGCAGAGGGCAGTATTTCATTTCAATTCATTTCCATTTAAAAGTGCTTTGTTATTGGCGCCATAGTATCTTAAAACAATACTCCCAGAGCATTAAAAAACAATTTTTTAATAAACTAAAGAAACAAAAATAGAAGAATAAAATAACACAAAATCACTGAGTATTCTCAATAAATTAGCGTACGTTATGTGTATGTGTGTGTCCAGGTCATCCACTGCTTGTGGGACGTTTTTATCCTCCGTCTCCTAGGAGAGTTGTAATTTTAAGATATTGTTTAATTTAATGAAATTTGGAATTTATAGAACTGAACTAGGTAAAATCGGTGTTCCTTACCTTATTGAAAGATTTGCAGGAAGTTCATCTCGGCTTCAGCCTCACCTGTCAGGGATCACATGTTCTGTTTTCTTTCGGTTGCCATGACTTTTTGTGTCGACCTGTTTCTGTTGCCAGTTTGTGGTCACTGATCTGTCTCTGCTTTCTATCACTGACGGTCAACAGATATTTTGCCAATTCATAATCTCTGTTTTAGGCCAGATTGTGCTTTAATCTGCTTCAGCTTTTAGTTTCTTCTTTCCAATATTTCAGATAAGTTTCTTTGCAATGTGTTATAACTTGGTTTACTCTGACTGGTGTTTGGACAGCAGTGTTTCTGTGAAACTAATTAGGGTGTCTATCCTGGTCTCATCTGGTTTTGAAGGGAGGGTGTCTTGTGGGCTGGATTTAAGTTTGTTAATTATCAGTGAGTATCTGCCAAAATCAACAGGCTGTAAAATGTTGCTGCAGAAGTCTGCATGTAGAAATTCTGTTGGGTCTTCATCCCTCAGCTCAGTGGGTACAGCTCTAATGACTGAATGGACCTCATATGTCACTACCATACAACACAATGGGCAGTGTGACACTGTCAAATATTTTAAGCCAGATCTTAATTGGAATTTGAAGCTTATAAAATCGTACTGTAACACTGTAAATTGGTAAATCTAAATGTAAAGGTATAAAATATAAAAGGAAAAAAATCCAAGCTACATACATGTAAGAATACAAGAAAAACACATCTGTATAAACAACTGTTCAGGACCTTAGGAAATAAACATATGTGAATTTAGCAGTAGAAAACTAGTTTACATTCATGATTTCAGACATAAAAATAGCACAGCCCTAAATCTCCCAGAACTAATTTTGGTTAATGACATGCTCAATATCTTGTTGTTTCATTTGGTGTAATTTTTTCCCTAAATTTTCTTTCATGTTTATTTAAAATTTGATTATACTTGAGCCATAAGGTTGGCTTGTTTGGTTGGCAAGGCTTTTCATTTGGTATTTTTGTCTTTTTGGTGATAATTTGGTGCTTTATTAGGCTTTTGTTTTTGCTTTAAAAGGTCAGCTTTAACAGCTGCCTTATGAAAATATTGCATTGATATCATCAGTGGCCGTACATATACTGTCTGATCAAAATACCATAATGATTTTGGTCATACATTGATATGGCATTTATGAGATGAGGTTCAGCTTGATGAATTGGTCTCCACTGTTTGGGTTGCTTCTGTAAGGAGGGTTTAATTTATACAGCTTACTGGGCTCCCTTTACTTGTCACCCATTTAACCTGAGAGTCTAAAGAACCCCTTTATTTCCCTGTGGTCTGATAGTGGAGGGATCCGGGTTAGTGAGTTAAAGTGGTTTAGATGGGAGCTGGCTGATTTGCTAAACAGGCGAAACTGACCAAAAACAGTTACTTTCTTGCAGGTCAGAAGCGTCAGATTCACTTTACATTTACTTTGTTTAACTTTGTGCAGGATGAAGACTTGAAATGGGTCGAGGATAATATTCCTACCTCTCTAACTGATGTGTAAGTATCCAGTGAAACCTTTTCAAAGGTCTTTTCACTCACAGTGTGTTCTAAGAGGTTCTTTTTATCCTTTTATATCACAACAGAGCTCTACCGATCCTGCTCGACTCAGATGAGGTATGAACAACATGGATTTGTACAAAAGATGATTTACTTTTTTTTTTTTTAACCAGAGATGTGTTAGTCTAGATATATAGACCCTGTAGTTGAAATAAAGGGCCCACTGTTTGAAATGTGCTATGAATTTGGAGAAATATAGTTGAATGAGGTGCTTGACAGGCATAGGAGCGGTTGGTAAGAAAGGTGAGGCTCAGCAAAATGATAATGTACAAAAGCATGTTTTCTTTCAGGGGATTACTGTGAAAATGTCTAGTTTTTTTATCGAGTGTCTATTGTTTCTCAGGAAATCATGACAACCAAGTATGAAATGTCAAAGCTGGAATGAAGCACAGTGTTTCCAACCATCTGCTGACAAGGAAGGAAAACGGCAGCTGTACCTGACTGTGTAACAGGGTTTTACAACGTTTGGATGGTGGTGGAGTGCCATTTTCAGGGGATCCTCCTGATTGGCCGCTACCTCACAAGGTGGTGCAAGCCACAGTTTTAGGGGGACCTTGGCTGATTCCTGTCAGCTTCTTAAGGACTCTACCAGAGGAAAACCTACGTTTTTTTTTTGACTGAACACCCGGCTCACCATTTCCCTCATATAATCACTTTTTCCAAAGAGAACAGTTTCATGTTTTTCCTCCAGAGCTGTATTTATTTTTGCTATGTTTAAACACATTTGTTTTACCAATGGGCCTCATACATTAACATACACACAAATATATGTTAAGTCTTCCTGAGAACATCTAGTGTATTATTAGTGAGGTTTAAGAAGTCAGATAATTATATTTAAAAAAAAAAAGACACAAAGCTTTTTTTCAACAATTAACTAAGAAGGAAATACGTGAGCTATTATAAGCCAGAAGCAAGAAAATATATTGGGTAAGTGGATTATTTAAAGATAAAGATTAAATAAATTTGTTCATATGCACTTTTTAAGATCAATACCGTGCCTACATGTGGTTCTTGTATGAGGCCCTAGTAGCTTCCATTAATTGAGAACAGCATGTGTGAAAACAGTTGATGTCTTAAACTGAAATTAGCAGACATACAAAGTCCTCATGAATGAGTATGAGAGATGACGCACAAGCAAGTCCTTTGAATAATTTGAGTTAGATGTGAGTTATGACAATAGTGGGAAATTAGGGTTTAGTGTCATATTTTGATTCTACTGTACAGGTGTGGGTGGGCAGGTTCTATCTTTTGAATGGGAAGCAGTATGCTGCGTGTATGCTTCTATGGAACTAAGTGATTTCATTATTTATTTGTGTTTCAAGTGGACTTATATGTTAAAGTGTTTGTCCTGAAATCCTTCATGTTTGCAATGTGTGCTTCCATCCCCCCCCCCCCCCCCCTATTTTTTTATTTTTTTTTTTTTTTGTTTGGATTATTTGGATCTTGCACTATCTTAACATTTGCCTTCTTTGCTGATAAAATCATCTTCTTGGCTTCACAGACACCTTAATAACATTTGTGTTCTTTTATGTTTTGGTCTTAATATATTGGTGTACTATATATTTTTTGAAAATGCCTGGCCTGATTTTGGCAGCGTCATTTTGAAGTTGGAGCACTGTCGTCTTAGTGTGTGCGTGCTGTGTCGAGTAGATGTAACAGCAGGATTTGTATTTTTGTCTTTCTAGGCCATTCCCATTATAACACAGCAGCTGAATTATGCACACACTGACCACCTCATTGGATTTATATTGTCACCGTTCCTTGTTAATTCCTTTTTGTATTGCCTGTAAACCTGGAATAATTGTGCTTATGAGGGCAAGCGAGCCTTCGGTTATATAAACCTGCAGACACCTGCAGTGGACCTTTGATTATTTGTACAGATGGCTTTTGGCTTATTCCTGTTATTTCATAATTCCACAGGTGGGGAGATGTCTGGATAATATGCTTCGCTTTTTTTTTCTTTTTCTTTTAATGGGTATTAAGTATAACTGAGCGTGAACTCTTCCAACCAGGGGTTTTCTTCTCACTTACTTTCCAAGAAGTACGTACACTTGGATCAAATCAGATTTAAATTTGGGATATTGTTTTCTGATCTATGACTTTCAGTGTTTGGCAATTAAAGGATTCAATTTTACAATTTCTGTGAATTTGTTGCATCATATAAAATGTTTTTTCTAGGCTGTTTTGAAAGTGTGTTATTAAAGAGGACCAGTGAGTATATGTTTAAATAGATAAATTTCTCTTTTAACAGGTCTTAAAAAGGAAAGCGATAAGTCTACTGTAGGTGCTGCTGCTTCTTTGGTAGATTGTAAAACCAGAGACAAATAGAGCATGTCCTCATCATATTAACAGCCAGGTGCAAGGGAACAGCCAAAATAACTGTCACTGACAGCATTACATCACTTCTATAACCCTGTTATGTTTTCTGTCTAAGTTATTTTAACACTGTTCTCTATGTTCAAGTCAGAAAAAGCACAGGGATCTTCAGTTTGCACATACACATACAGACAGAAAGTGCACACTTTTTCAATTGTAAGGTTTCATGTAGTTAAAATGGTCTGAAATATAAATACATTTTAAATACACCATCAGATGAACTGCAAAACATGAAATACTCTGTCACTGTTGATTTAGCAAAAATTAAGATAAAATGTAGAAGCAGTGTGTATAAAAAAACTATAGCCCATGATTCAGTAGCTTGTAGAACCACTTTAGCAGCAATAACTTGAAGTTTCATTCTTTTTTACAACATTGCTTATGAATGCCTGCTAACTTCAGTTCATGAGGTTTGCAGCATTTTGATTCTTTTTCAGCCGTCCTGGTGGAGATTTGCTTCTGTGCTTGGAATCATTGTGCTGTTGCACAACCTAGTTAGAGCTGCGTTTTAGCTGTCTGACAGAAAGGCTCGCGTTTGACTCCAGAATACTCTGGTATACAAGTGAGTTCATAGTCGAGTCAATGACTGCAAGGTGCCCTGGTCCTGTGGCTTAAAAAATCATCACTCCTTCCCCACAGTGCATAACAATTGGTATGAAATGTTTGTCCTGATAAGCTGTTTTTGATACGACTTTGCAAACCTTAAGTCTGTTGACATGTTCCATTTAGAAAGAAGAGACTTTCTCCTGTTAACTCTTGCAAAAATTCTATATTTTGTTCAGTCTTTTTCTAATTGTACTGTCATGAAATTAAAGATTTAGCATGCTAACTGAGGACTGTAGAATCTGAGATGTAGCTCAGGGCTTGGAGTTTCTCAAATGTCTCTGATCAGTGAACAGTCTGAACTTAGGGTAAATATCCTGGGATGACCTCTCCTGTGAAGATTGGCTGCTGTCTTGGCACAGCTGAACGTGTTCTACGTGTGAGTGATGTTTCTCACTGTATAATGAAAGGCTTTGTTTGGAAATCGCCTTATAACCCTTCCGTGATTGATGGGCACCTACAATTGTTTGTTTAAGATCTAGGTGATGTCTTTCATCCTTGGCATCACGTTAACAAACGCCTGAATGCTCCAGACCTGCAAACTGCCAAAACTGACATTTTAATGGAGGTGCTCACACTTGCTGATGATCAGTTAATCGAGTCTAGTTGATTTCCAGCACCTGGTTCTTTCTTACCTTCTTAATTCATATTGGAACAGTAAGACTTTGTTTAGTTTTTCATACACTGATCTGTGTTCCAGTTTATTTTTTGTTAAATAAATAATGAAAGTGTAATATGTCATATTTTTCTGTAGTTCATCTGAGGTTGTTCATCTGAGAATGTACCTGCTAAGGACCAGTTTATTTTCATTATACCCTCATACGTAAAACCTTAGAATTGAAAGAGGGTATATTTTCTTTTTACCGTGATTGTAAGTTATAGATTTACTCCCCAAATGAAAGATGGTGCAGGTGACACAAGTGACATTTCAGCTAACCTGTTAAAAAAAAAAAGTAGAGCAAAACACCTTTATGGATTGATCCACTATTAACATTTAATGTTTAATGTCCATTAAGCCATCCATCATTTACAGAGATGACTGCTAGTAAAGTGGTCGTTGTGAGAATTAATTTTATTTATATAGTGCCAATTCACAGCAACAGTTGCTTCAAGGCACTTTGTATTGGAAGTTAAAGACCCTACAGTAATGCAGAGAAAACCCTAACAATCAGATGACCCAAGTGCTTTGGTGACAGTGAGAAGGAAAAACGTCCTTTTATCAGGAAGAAACCTGCAGCAGAACGAGGCTCAGGGAGTGTCTGCCATCTGCTGTGACTAGTTAAGGGTGATGGGAGGAAGAACCAAAGAGAACTAAAGTCAACCTTTTTTTTCTGTGACTATATGAATGAACTCTCCATTCTGTCTGCCCCGGGGACCGTCCCCTTCTGTACATTTTTGATATTACTCTCCTGAAAATGGCTTGTAGCTCAGTGCTCTCCAGCTGTCTCTGGCAATATCCCTCTGCCGGAGAATGGATGAAACGTATAAACATCAAACAGCCTGAGCTCCACACTGAAACAAAGGCTGCAATGTAAGAGCTCCTGGTACATTACCAAAGGAAATTACGCCAGCTATTAAGGCGCATTGTCATTTTCAAAGCAGTGCGTATCATTGAGGCATGTGTTTTGAGTCTCACTATCCACTCTTGCATCGAAGCATGTAGCCTAGCTTTTTTTGGCCCCTTTTATTGCGATGTAAACCCCCTGGATGCAGACATAAGAAGAGGACAGGAGAAGTTAAGAGAACACATGTGGTAAGCATTAATCTTTTTTGTTTTGCTTTTCCTTTATCAAATAGACACACTGAGATGCATTTTGAAGATGTGACAGTTGCTGTTGCTTCTACTAAAGTCAAATAAAAACACTATGAGACTTCCTTTGTTTCTAAGACATGTTGGAAATACTTGTATGATGTGTACTGCCTGTGAACTTCTGCTCCAGGGGTTATGTTATTGAACACACATTCTTCTTCTCGAATCTTTCATCTCTTCATTCAGAAAGCGTTTTATAGCCATCCAAGCTTCATTTTTCAGCTATGTATGGGTTTGCCTTTCAGTGATTAAAACCCCCCACAATGGTTGTTGAATGAAAACAAACAGATTTGCAAAGCCATTTAAAAGCACTCTGCTCAGGATCAAGCGAGGTAGTCCTAACAAATACTGAAAAGTTGGACTGATTTTATTGCAGTTATGCCGAGGCAATTAAAATTCCAGATAAACTATGTATTACATTGGCAAGGTTGACAAATCATCATTGTTTTGGAGTATAATGAGAATACCTCTGGGTAACATACAGATTATGAGAAACAGGGGAAACAGACCAGGTACAGCACTGCAGCTACTGCTTAAAAATCTCCCTTAGTATTACAAAAGGTAAACAAAGCAAGCTAGTAAAAAAAACCCAATATACAGTATATGATTGAAGATAAACATGTGGCATACTGTTTCCTATATTGTAAAAAAAACTCAAAAAAAAAACAGCAACAATTATCGCCAATAAATTAGAGCCACAGGAGCACTAATGTCAAAAAGGGATTTATCATCAGTTAAGCAAAGGCAGTGCATTAAATCTGCGGCCTGAGCTACACAAACATTAACTATAGTGGCCATACAGAAAGCAACAGCAATGACAGCTATGGATCCCTCATTCTGCATTCATTATGCTGTTATTTAGATCTTATAAATGTAAATGCACTGAGCCAAGTATTGTCAATCATAGGCATACTGATACTATCTAAAGATGCAGCTACATTATAATTCTCCATTAATTTTTGGATTTATAAAATAGAGATTAAAAATCAGCTTTGTCGCCTTCTCACTCTTTTGGTAATTTTGGCTGTGACTGCTAATTCAGACAAACTGATTTCTGAAATAGGTTGAAGTAAACTTCCTACAGTTTTCAGTCTCTTTATCTTCCTCCTTTGCTCAGAAATTGTAAGGTGAAACCAGAATGTGGACCTGGGCCACATGCTTGGCCTGAAAGGTGCGGTCGCTGTACTCAGACATGTCCACGTCAACGCTGATCTCCTGTGGCCCGCGCAGCTGCTGGACCAGTATCAGCTCACCAGTCTGTCTGTCTGAGCGCTGCATAACAAAGATACTGCGTGAGTTTCCGCCCACTATGCCGAAACGCAGGCTGTCCGGGCCGGCGCGGCCGGGGACGGCAGCGGTCGCCATGCGGAAAAGCGTGGCGGGAGTCTTCAGGTTGGAGGGCAGAGACAGGTAGTGAAAGGACACAGTCTTGGGGGCCAGGTGGCAGGAACGGCTGTCCATGGGGCAGGGGTTTCTCTCACACTGACTGCAGGAAGGAAATACAGTAAATATTAAGAATTACTGGGCAAAGTGCTTTGGAGAAGTGAAACACACACATACATATACTCATTTCAATGTTTTTCTCTAGACATTGGCTGCA